AACTTCATTTTTCTTTTATGGGAAATAATTTTTTATTCATATTATTTCTCTCCTCTCAATTACACAATACGCATTCTTAATCTACGTGATTAAGTGGCTCTATGACTCTGTTTGGTAGCCTTATCTGGCTTATTATGCGTATCTGCAGAATGAGCAAGATAAGAAGTAACTTTTGACTTGTTTATTTTATTGAAATGCTTTTATTTTAAGAATTTGCAGTACTGAGGTATTAACCAAACACTTTTATTTTAAGAAAACTAGCAAACTCAGTCATTTTAGGCTTTTAGCCTATAGATACTTAACAAATTTCCCTTATATATTTCATGCTAGTGATGGACAAGTTATATATGCTTGCATTGACCCATCTCCCCCACTTTGGTTAAAGTTGTTGGCTTTGTCATCTTTTAGGCATATGAAGAAGCGCATAAAGCACATTAAGAAGTTTAATTCTGAAATTCCGCCTATTATTGAAGTGGAGATGGGAGAAATCGAATGGCTTGGGTTAATTGCTTATATTAGAGTACTGACAAGGAAGCACTCACGTTATAGGGAATTACTACCCTTACTAAAGTCTAAGCTGATGGCAGTAAGATACCCAGAATCTTTGTCTCCAGCTCTCAAGTATGCCACTGATGACGAGCACTCCTCTATGCTTTGGAAGATTAGGTACTAACCGACTGGTTTCAGGAGCAGAAGTACTTTCTCTTCTTTTGAATGTTAACCTCATCTAATGATTTACCTTAACCTTATTAATATTCATTTATAAGGTCTGAACTCAAGATATTGCTCATATGTGGGAATTTGAACTCGGATAACCTTAATATCAGTGGTTGACTGTGCCATCAAATGATTCTACTGAGTTTCAAAAGAGACTGTTCTACTCTTGGTCCTCAATCTAAAATTGGCCAGTTTTGGTCCCCAACAGTTGAGAAGTTTTCACTTTTGGTCAATCTATGAAATAGATGAAAAGTATACAGGGTATAAGTGTATAACGAGCACTAGCTAATTTAGTTATCACTCTGCATTTCTTCTTTAAGAGAATTTGACTGTGCATCCCATATATTGAGCGATATTGGATTTTGCACCCCATTTTCAAAATCATTAATATTTGCTTCTCATTAATAAAAAAATTGTGACATAGTGAAGTGCAAAGTCAAATGATTTTACAGTGAAACGAGTGTGATTTTAAAAATAGAGGGAAAGGTCAAATATCACTTAGAAAATGGGGCGGAAGGTGAAATTCTCCCTTCTTTTACTTTCGCTGCGTCTCAGTTCATGTTATTGCTTTCTTGTTTTTCATTTCCTCCACCACACTACCACATGAATAATATTTTGAACTTTTCTTTAAAGATAAAGGTAGTTTTGGCGAGTTTAAAAATGGTATTATTCCCTCCCGTCTTTTAGTCATTCCTCTACTGTTCTTTTATGCAAGTTCTTAATTACTTGTTAAGAAGTTGTGATCTTATCTAATTGCAAAAATAACCTTATTTTAAAATTTTCTTTCCTGTTATTTTAACCATTTTTTCATTTATTATACATGACCAGATGTTGCAACAATTTTCACTCGTAAAAGCTTAAAAGGACTACAATTAACTAAAGAGAGATGGGAGGGGTATCATTTTGCAATCCCAATTATTGCAAATAGGACTAATACATGCATTGTGCGCAAAAATAAGATAAGTATAGTTTTGTACCAAAAGCAGAATTCAAGTAATAAAATGTTCTTTTTTTATATGACAATGAGTCCTCTAGAGTTCTAATGGACTTAAAAGCCTAGCTCGGGGTGCAAGTTTTCCGGAAGCTGTCAACGTTTGAAGGTAACGAGGTTGAGCTCTTACGTTTGGTGATGGCAATGGAAGCGATGAGCCTATAATAGGGAGAAGGAGGTGGGGAGGTGGGGTGTTCTGTTCTGTTTGATGCAAGAGAGGATGAAGAAATGTTTTTTTTTTGTTTTTTGAAAGAGATGAAGAAATGGTTAAACAATGGATTACATACTTTCATGAAGAAATGGTTAAACAATGGAACATAATGCAAATTCAAATAATTTCACAAAAATACCGAATAACTCATTTATTTATTCACTTGAAGTGAACGTATGGCCACAAGAACCAAATAGATAAATAAAGGGTTTAAGCTTTGTATTTGTTTATATATCTACAATCTACAATGGCAAAAGAGCATGTCTCATCAAACCTAGCAACATACACTTTGATAAGAATCCAAACAACAAAATAACAATAATTAATATGACAAATTTCTTGAACCCTAGTACCTTGTTCAATCGATCCATGGCGGTGATTCAGGAAGACGCCCAACCATTAGTATCACTGTGATTGATTTTTCATCGCCGGTCAAACTTTATAAGGATAGTGAAAAATCACTCTTTTAATTTATGGATCAATACTTTAAGAGTATGTTATGATTGGAAGTTTGTATAATGCACAATAAACTTGAAAACTAGATTAAGTAATGTGTTGTCTGTACGATGGTGGATTTTTACTAAACTTTTCTATATTATGCTAATGAGATTTAGAAGAGTTACAACAACTTGTCAATCAAAATTGCTCAAACACCATACTTGGATACTTATTTGATAAGTTCGCCATCACTTCAACTTTGTAAAATATGGATAATATATAAATATTATGCTCAAACAGCATACTCGGATACTTATTTCATAAGTTCACCATTACTTCAACTTTATAAAATATGCATAATATATAAATATACACCTTTCTCCTTTATTTTCTTAAATTTTATAAGTCATGTCAAATTCAAGTGTATCTTACATCATGTGCATCAAACAACATAATTTATCTTAATACTGTGCTTAACATACAAATGAATGTCTTTCTTTCAAAAAAATATACAAATGAATGACTTATATTGATATACTGAGTATGATATTGATTTTATAATAAGGACAAAAAATTTGAGTTCAGTAAAGTTATTTTTAATCAGATTACCTAAAGAGAAAAAGGCTAAACCGGTAACATTTGTCGAGTCGATTTCTAAACGGTTTGGGCCGAATTTCGATTCAATTTTCCCACCACTATTAAAAAACAAAATTTTGAGCTACTAATTAATAATCATTTTTAGTTAAATACAGTACGGGAATTAAACGAGCTTTAATACATACACGTTTTATTCGGTAACATTACCGAAAAACGGTCAAAAAATTCATTGAAAAACATTGACTGTTAAAAAACGTGTAAATACGTATACGTACATAATACGGTATCTGTTACAAAAAATACGGGGTATTATTTTGAATGTTTAAATTGTATACTTTACAAGATAACATATATAGTAATGATTTTGCAAACTAATGTCAACAAATAATGACAAAAAAAAGAATGAGACTAAGTTAAAATCATTATCTTTATATGTTCATCAAATAACACTCAATTTAAATTCATCATTTTCATCAAGATGACGGATGGCATGAGAAAAATTGTGCGACTGCTACACGCGCTTATTATTGTTTGTGTGTAAAAGTTTATACTAAAAATGTCAGATTTAGAAAAACTTTATTTTTGACATGCTTGTTTGGAAAAACATGAGAAATCTAGTAGTATTTTAGGTTTTAGTCTTTTAAAATGCTAACTTTAGCCGCCATGCAATTAATTTTAATATTTAACAATTGTATTTTAACAATACAAAAACATGAGGTCACATAGAAGAACTTTTCTTTTTTTCTTGTAAACTATTGCTGATCTCCAATTCGTTTAATGCGTTCATTTAATTGATCAATTCATGTTTTTATTTTTTGTAAAATACGGGATGCTAGCTTAGCCGCCGTGCAATTAATTTTAGTATTTAATAATTAATTGTATTGTAACAATACAAAAAACACGAGCTCATGGAGAGGAGTTTTTTTTTTGCTTTTACACTATTGTTGATCTCCTATGCACTTAATGTGTTCATTCAATTGATCACTTCATATTTCTATTTTTTGTAAAATACGGGAATAATACAATTTATACGGGAAGTAAGAGTTTTTTTCCTTTTAAAACGGACCGACATTATTTTTCATTTTAAACGCGTTTTTTGTTTAAAAAACGGCACGTGTTTAAAACCTGTTTAGGTTAAAGAAATTGCCCAAAATGGGACTAAAACATATATAAAAAGCCAGAGTAGGACATAACATTTTTTTTCCCATTATAGGAGTCATCAGCTCCTAGTTTAAGTTTCCGTCATTTCTTCAATGTCCAAATTGCCCTTTCTTTTTTGATAGCTCTCCTGCTCGTAGACACTGCCTCCAACATCATCGATCTTCTTCTCCTGCGCCGTTCATTCTTCTCTTCTCTTGCACAGTTGCACTATCCGTTCTTCTGCTACATATATAGTCTCCAAGTTCAATCTTCTTCTCCTGCTATTTCTCAAAGCACTCCATGTTTGATCTTGTTTGCTTCCTCCATCTCCATTCAATTTGTTTATTAGAAACTCCACCAATTTCAGAAATTCAGCTCTTCCTCCTCTGATTTCTTCTTCTCTTTCTCTTTGTCTCCTCCATGGATTTTCTTCTTCTTCTTCTTGCTCTATTTTTTAAAAATGTTTTCTCAAAAATCATTCGGAAAACATGTCAGAAAACATGTCATTTCTAATAACAAGTAGTTATGTCATTCTCAAATAAGTCATAAAAATGCATAGAATGCCATAAGAATGACATTTTCATATTGTCATCCTGATAAATATACTGTCACAAACATGACTGTTTTTTCAAATAACCAATAATTTTGACATTCTTAGATTATAAAAGTGACATTTTGCTGAATAAATAAAATTCAAATTCAAAAAAATGCAAAGAAGAGAACATAGGACTACAAATTTGAAGAGGACTGGAAAATCGTTACGGCTTTGTTTTAATTTCTCATCCAAAATTTTCTAATCTAAAACAATTGTTTAGAATCCCAAAAGTAAGAAAGTGGACTAAAAATTCAAAAATCAAAATAAAAATGAAACAGAGTAGGAGTGGGAAGAAAATAGAGGAGAAAAGGAGAAGAGGAGAAAAGAAGAGAAGAAGAAGAGGAAGAGGAAGAAGAAAAAGAAGAAGAACAACAAGTAGCTTGAGATCAAGAACTTACCTAGGAAAACTGCAGCAGGGCTTGAGATCGCAGCAAGGCTCGCAAGTGGCGAACTGAAAGAAGAGAAGCGCAGGGCAAATTCAGCATTCTGCTGTTATTTTAGTCCTACGCTACTTCAGATAAAACTAGTAATCCTATAATGAAATTTTTCATAAGTTTTAGTCCTATTTAGGTAAATCCTTCTTTAGGTTAATAATAATGACATAATTCCATAGGCCTTACGGAGTGAGTGCTACAGTGGCGGTATTTCTATAAGCTAAACTCGAACTTTTTTCCGGTTTAGTTCTCAACCCTTGTTCTTCAGTCTGCAGATTTTCCTCTCGTCAGCGCACTGTTCAGTTTAGGAGAAAGCGTTGCTTTCTGAAATGGCATCAATCGCAGGACGTGCTGGATCAACGGGCTTGTCATTCCTCCACAAAGCCCTAACTTCGGCCGAAAGATCTAACCTTCGTCGATCCTTTGTCTGCCCTACACTTTCCAATCACGAGGTAAACGGTGATTGATCAATGGAACTGATATCAGATTTTCATTCAACATGATATTGTTAAGTTTTCTGTTTGTGGTGTGTTACATGCCTTGTTTGGGTATAGATTTTTCTGCTAAGTTTTAGATTTGCTTTTTCAAATTTTTGTTTCTTTGTTGTTTTCCTTAGCATTGCTTACATAGCAGAAATCTGTTGGAATGAATATATCTAATACCATTTATTAGCTTGAAAAAAGCGCTTAGTTGCCGTTCACGAAGACACTCTTTTCTCTCTCTTTAAATTTGACAGAATTCAATCAAAGATCAAAGAAAAGATTACTTAATGAAAATAGCGCCCAGGGTTAAACAAATTAGAATCTTATGCAGTGAGGTAATATGGATTAAACGAAAGGAGCCCTTTTAATACCCAGTCACGCCTCTAAGGAACGCCCCGTGATATCATGTTGTTTGCAAATTAGACTAGCAGAGAGCCAACCCTATTGGAATTTAGTTGTATTGTTTGTCATGAATCATGATTGATGAATTGATGCTGCTTAATTTTGTAACTTTTTTGGATTGTAATTTATCAAGCTATTTATGGTTGGAATAAAATGACAAATTGCTAATAAAATTATTGCAATGTGAACATTGTTCATTATTTGCAGCCTTTTTATTTTATCATTTTTATATATATTCATCTTTTTTATATTATCTTTTCATAATAGCTTATCTTTTTATCTTTTTTCCTTCTTTTCCTTTTGGTTGTGATATCATGTATCGATTCATGTTAGCCGACCCCAATATCTTTTGGGACTAAGGCTTGGATGTTGTTGTTGTTGTTGTTGAACATTGTTCATTGTATATTTGTATTCAGCTTTTGTTGATGCTCATAGGCTCATAGCCTTCTAGGCGTAACTTAATTGGTTAATAAACAATGGCGTAGCCAGGGGTGCAAATTGGGCTTGGCCGATACAAAGATTTATTTGGAAATTTTTTAACATAATTTTTTAGACTAATATTTAAACAATTTTTTAAATTTGGGGTGGGCTGGGGTTTGCCATGGCCCCCTAGCTTCACCCATGTTAATAAATGTTACCTGTCTTGCTTGCAGCTATTGAGAAATTATGCAACCGCCCCTGCTTCAAAAGAACAAAAAGTTAAGGTATGCTGTGAAGCCTGTGATGATTTACTTCAGTTAATCTCTTTGATACAAGTATATAGCACTGAGTTACTTTAGCACATAACACTCTCTACTGGGTTTCAGGTGCCCTTGACAATGTATGGGGTTTCCGGAAACTATGCCTCTGCTTTGTACCTTGCAGCAGTGAAGTCAAACACGCTAGACAAAGTTGAGTCAGAACTCTCTGACCTTTCTGCGGCTGCGAAGAAAAGTCCTACATTTTCTCAGTTCATGAAGGATCCTTCTGTGCCTTCTGAAACTAGAGTAACTGCCATTAAGGAAATTTGTGCTCTGGCTAAATTTGGAGATGTCACCAGGAACTTCTTGTGTAAGCCCTTTTTTAGAATGCTGTTTTGATTTTTGACTAGTTATGCGTGTGCACCTTGTTATATTTTTACTGCTGGCTACTTGCAATTACTCTGTGGATGCTGTGCTTATCAACTTTATTGAACCTTTTAACCAGACAACGGCTGTGGTTATTGTGACCAAGGGGTCATGGGTTCAAGTCTTTGAAGCAGCCTCTTGTCAAAAATGACAAGGGAAGGCTTACTCCGTATACACCCAGTGGTGGGACCCTTCCCTGGACGCGAGGACGCCAATGTGCACTGGGCTACTTTTTTTTTTTATTTAACCAGAAAATGGCTACCAGGCTAGTAATGATCTTATTTTACGCGTGCAGTTGTTTTGTCTGAAAACGGGAGGCTGAAAGAGCTTGACCGCATCGTGAAACGATTCAAAGAGTTAACCATGGCACACAGGGGAGAAATTAAAGCCATTGTGACATCTGTAATTGTGAGTTTTATCTCCTTTTGTTTTGAATATATATCTCGCTATTTTTAGTACAGGAAATAGTTTGATATATAGCCCTCAACTATTCTGTCAATCCCAAACATATTCTTTAACTTTCTATGACAAATTTCATGTTCTTTCTAGATTTAATCCTTGGCGAAGAGATCTGACTGTTCTCTCTCGAGAATTAGGGCCAAAATGGAGACTGTCATTTATGTTATTGTGGTAGACGAGTTTCCATTTCCATCATTTGCAATGGAGCCAAAGATTCATTATTTTTTGGCTTGAGATTATTATGGAATAAAGCAAAATGGCTCACTAAACTGTTTGCGCTTCTTTGTTATGAAGCAGCAGTCAATCCATGCAATTTTGGACTGGATTTTCACTATGGGTCATCCGGAAACAGTCTCTCCGACCCCCCTTACCCCACCGTAGGTGGGAGCCTTTGCGGCACTAGGGTAAATGAAAATGAAAATGAAAATGTGGAAAGATCTCTAGGTTGACGCAGATCATTCATTTTCATTTACCCCAGTGCCGCAAAGGCTCCCACCTACGGTGGGGTAAGGGGGGGTCGGATGTACGCAGTCTTACCCCTATACTAAAGCACAGAGAGACTGTTTCCGGATGACCCATAGTGAAAATCGCGTCCAAAATTGCATGGACTGACTGCTGTTTCATTACAAAGAAGCGCAGACAGTTTACTGAGCCATTTTGCTTTATTCCATCATAATCTCAAGCCAAAAAATAATGAATCTTTGGCTCCATTGCAAATGATGGAAATTCTAGGTTGACGCAGATATGTGGTAAAATTGAAAGTAGGGCTAAATCTGTTGCATTAGGACGAGAGTCCAAATTCATTTTTTTTTCAGGCTGTTGTATATACATAAATCATATACACCTTATATCTGTCATGTTTATCTGGCAGCCCCTTCCTCCAGAAGAGGAGAAAGAATTGAAGGCCACACTGCAGGAGATGGTTGGGCATGGGAAGTCTGTCCAAATTGAACAGAAGGTATGCTTGCACTTTTATTTTTTTTGGTATAGACAGTTGATTTTTTTAGTTCTAATAGAAATATGTTGCAATATTGCAATGGCAGATTGATCCAAGCATCCTTGGTGGCCTTGTACTGGAATTTGGGCAGAAAGTCTTTGATATGTCGATAAAGACTCGGGCCCGCCAGATGGAGAGATTCCTTCGTGAACCACTCAACTTTTGAAGAAGAAAGCTGCATTTCACTCTTTGAGTCCTTAATATGCATTTTTTCTTGTTTCTGATAAGATAAAAGTTTTTTTTTTGCAAATAAAGAAATCTTTGTTTTTTGTGAGATTTGATTGGGATAAAGAAAACCCCTAATTATCCTGTGATGTTTTTACCTGATTCACATCCTTGAAGTCTTGAACCAGCATAAACTATCATATTTCCCTAATTGATGTTCTTATGTTAAGTTCCAACATGCTTATGTTTAGTAACATTTGTATAGTTGATATTTTTTAAATTGGATACGAGGATTAGACAATTTCCTCATTGATTGGCATGTCACATTTTTTTTGGTCACAAACGCAATGGGACTAGGCATGGATTCGGGCCGGGTCGGGCCCGGGCCTAGGCCCGGTCGGGTCGCTGGTTTGTGAATGGTGGGCCCGGGACCGGCCTGAAGTACAGACGATTCCGGTTCCGGTTTGGGCCACTCGCCCGGGTCACAGGCTGGGTCACCCGCCGGGCCGGGTTGGGTTGGGCCGGTTAAATCCATTTTTTTTATAATTTATACTTTATAGTTTTATACAAGTATTAAAAACAAACTTCAAGTGCATTTATTTGAAATGAAATAGGAACTACATTTGACAATTGAGAAAAGAAAATAATATGAAATACATTTTGTAATCAATCGGAACTTCTCGGACCTACCGATCTTTTGACTTTGTCACATGACTTCATATGCTTCCTTGCCATTCTGTATCCCCATGAAACTCTTTTCCTACACTTTTTTCTGCACCATTTGCAAGTTGCGTACCACATCCCGGTACTCGGGTCCTTCCGCGTATCAAAATTATACCGTATAACGGTATATTGATTTTCCATCTTAAAAATGGTAGATATATTAATTCTATAAATACTAGAATAGATTAGTGATGGACCTGGGCCGGTCCGGTTCCGGTTCTGGGCCGGGCCCGGGCGGGCTTTTTTTGCAAATCCTTGGGCCCGGAACCGGCCTGGGTTGATACCGGGTCAGGGCCTAATCGGGCCGGGCCGGGCCCGGTTCAATGTCTATTTTTTTTTTGCTTACTTGTTATCCCTCGACCCCCCCCCCACCCCACCCCCAAACCTCCCCAAAACACCCAGCCCTACCCTAGGAAAAGAAAAAAATTGAAAAAAAAAAATTGATCCGGGCCCGGCCCGAACCGCCCGGGCCGGTTCGCCCAAAACTGGGCCCGAGCCCACCCCCCGACCCGCCCAAACGGGCTAAAAGCCCGGAACCAGCCAACCGGTCCCGGTCCGGTCCGGGCCCGCACAGTAGCGGGCCGGGCTGGTTCCGGCCCGGCCCGGCCCGGGTTAGTCCATCCCTAGAATAGATGGAGATGAAGATGGAGAATGGAGATTGGAGATTGGAGAAGATGTGTATAAAAATGTTAGAAAATAGGAGTATTTATAGAAATTTTTGTACCCCCACCCCCACCCCTAACGACTCTATTGATTCAAATTTCAAACAACCAAAGTGCCCAAGTTCCAACGGCTATATAGCCGTTTGGGGCCTTTGATTGATTTATTTTTGTTTATTTTTGTTTGAATAAATTACATAATGAATTCAGTAAAAAATGCTACATATAAAAAATGAACGTATATTTATTTGAAATATGAACTACAAAATTACAAGTTACATTTGAAAGTAAAATTAAAACATGAAATACTAATCAATCGGAATCTCCGTAATATGTAGAGCCACCCTCGGTTGTAGATTCATCCATAAAGTATTGGAATGAGGTGATGTCAATTTCTTGAGCTCTACGGGCTGCCTTCAACTAATCGTGGTAGCATATAAGCATGTCAAGAGATTCTGCACTCAACCTCGTTCTACATTGCGTTAGGACATTGCCGGCCGAACTAAGTTCTTGTTTGATGGCAACTGTTGAAACCGGCATTGATAGCATTTGCTTAGTCATTTTTGCTAAAATCGGGAACATTCTTTCTTTTCCCTTCCACTAGTTTAGAACGTCAAAGTCATCATCTTCTTCAAAATCAACATCATATGTTAAATACAAAGAAATCTCATTAATTGTGCTTTTTTGAGTAGCGGGTGTTGTTTTAGTTTTTTTAATAAGATTGACAAATGTAGATTTCAAAATTGATTTTCCTTTAATTGAAGAGGTTTGTGTCGGGGGAGGGGCCGCGTTGCCATATTGTGCATGAAACTCATTAAATAATGCATAAAATATATCACTAACCTCATTGTATTCTTTTTTCGAATCAATTGAGTTATTTTCATACATTGGCATTGGACAAAAAAAAGCACCATAATAATAATTCAAACATTCTTCTAAAGAACCAAGTCTAAAATGAGAATCGAGAACACACGCAATACCATAAATATGCGGAATATGTGAATAATATTTTAAAAACTCTTCTTTCATAAAACCAGCAAAATAACTCACATAATTGACATTCTCAAAATTTAAAAAAGCTCCGACGAGATTAACAGCTTCACGAATAAATTGGTTTGAGGTAGGTTTATAAACATGACTAAAAGTTTTAGTTGCATTATTAAAATATACCAAAGCATTACAATTTTTTTCGCAGGTGTCGATCTCAGCTGAGTTTATAATATAGTTATCATATTGTTTCATAAAAGCAGGAAAATGTTGTTTATATCTAAGAAGAACTACAATTAACTTATAAGTACTATTTCAACGAATAGACAAATCTTTAGGAAAAACCACATATTTCTCACATCTTTCTATCAAATAATCATGCCATTTTTTTCTAAGTTGACCATTACCCCAAATACGTCTAATCCCCCGACTACCTGCAAAGATGCTCCTAACGCTTTTAGACCATCTTGCACACATAAATTAATAATATGACATGCACATCGTTGATGAAAAAATCTACTCATCAAAGAAGTAGAACCACACAATTCACGCAGTCTAGGAATAGCAGCAGTATTATCAGTAGCATTATCAAAACCAATAGCAAACACCTTATCAATTAAATTATACTCAATTAAAATACGCTCAATCAAAATATATATAAATATGTTCAACGGTGTGACGATCATTAAATTCACGAAAAGCAAGAACACATTTATGCATATTCCAATTATTATCAATATAATGTACAGTCAGACTCAAATAATGTAAATTATGATAAGTATCCTCCCATATGTCAGAACATACAGTAACACGCCCATCAAAGTTTGCAAAATAATTTTGTAACCTTACCTTTTCCACACCATAAAGCCTTGAAATTTCTTTCTTAACCGTTTTGCGACTATAACCTCTATATTGAGGATTTAAACAAGTTAGTGCATAATAACGAAAAGCAATACTTTCAGAAAACAATTAAGGCAAATTTTCTTCAACAAGTAAGTTAGTCATACCTGTCAAATTTTGTGCATCATTGTATGAGATATTACCAAAAGGTTGTTGGTTATTTGCAAATCTCGATATTTGAGTTTGCTTCCCCGTTCCGCCGCCTAATTTTGCATATTCCACCGGGTGTTTGGCCTTAAGATGCCTTGTGGCGGATCCGTATCCACCAGAAATCCCCATGCTATAATTTTTCTTGCACCACTTACAAGTTGCGTTCCAATTCCCGGTGTTCGGGTCCTTCCACTAATCAAAATTATTTTGCATTAGTTCAGATCTACTTTTTTCGTACCTGTTTGGGATGAGGCAGGCTCGTCGGCGTTGTGGCTGCCGCCACCCTCCTCCGCGTCGCCGTCGTGGCTCTCCGGAATTACTTCCTCCACATCGTCGTCCTCGAGCTCTTCTTCGTCAATGGTCCTCGGCTGGTCTTGGAAAAACCGACTACTATGTCGGTGCAATTGTTGTTCAAGTTGTTCATCGGTCATGACATCCCCATCCCTCCTTGCGTAACCTGTATCAACATCATCTCGGCTTTGAGATGAAGAGCCGATATGTGATTTACCTTTGTGAGATTTCTTCCTCGCAAGTTCGTTCGTTCGGTTGCGCTCGAGGTTACCCATATCAACCGAATATCTACCACCTTCTATCTTAAAAATGTAACAAATATGAATTTATAAAAATAATTCGAACTAATGAAATAAAATTCTAACAATTCTAACTTTATTGAAATAAAATTCCAACAATTCTAACTAAGTAGATATAAAATGTAATATGTATGTATTTAGTAGATATAAGTAGATAATAAGTAGATAATAAGTAGAGATTAAGTAGATAACAAATATAAGTAATATAATATATGTATTTATAAATGGATAATTAATACATAACTATATAAGTAGATAAGAAATATAAGTAATATAAATTTTAATATATGTATTTCTAAGTAGATAAATAATATAAGTAGATATATAATATATTGGAGAATAAGAGAATTTGAGAAGATGAAGATAATTAGAGAGTAGAGAGTAGGATTTTGGAGAAGAGATATGGAAAAATGTTTAAGATTAGGAGTATTTATAGTTTTTTTTACCCCACCCCCACCCACCAAACCGCCCGGACCCCCCCTCCAGCCCACCCAACGGCTATATAGCCGTTTGGGTAGTCCCCAGCCCACCCCCAATGGCTAGTTGCGGCGCAAACATTTTTTTTTATTTTGACCGTTGGATCTGGCCCGGACCCGGGCCCGACCCGACCGGGCCGGGTCACCTTTTGCCTGAACCGAGCCCGCCCCGCCCTTCCCCCCTGGTTCGGGTCTACACCCGGTCCCGGATCGCCAGACCGGGCCGGTCCCGGGCCGCACAGTAGCGGGCCGGGCCGGGTGGCCCGAACCGAATCCAAGCCTAAATGGGACAGAGAAAGTTCTATGACGTGTCATTTACCAACATAGGATTATAATAATAATGGCAATTTCTACGGTACCTTTAAGGTACTGGAAGGCGTGGACCAATAAAAAAATTCCAATTCAATAATTTAAATGTAAATAAAATATAAAATATTGAGTTGAATCAATGAAATGCATCATAGATAGCGTTGCATTTTTGTTGGTACCATAGCAATCACCAATAATAATACGCAGTAATAATGCAAATAAGGTGTGTTGTGCGAACTACCAAGGTTGTCCGAAAGTAAAGTCAACTCACTGAAATACTACGTAATTCTTTTTCACAATTACTCCATTGGTTCAGTGATTGATCATTGAATTCAGATTTTCCTATGCTCAATTCTCTCAATGCTCAATACAACTAACGGTGTATTGTAAAACGGTAAAAGTTTCGCTTGATTTATTTACATTCGCTAGTTATAATCACTATATACATTTACAAGATGACCACTCAGACCCGATCCGTAGTTATTTGGGAAGTGATAGAGTATTAACTTCTAGAGAGAAGTGATATGTATTAATGAATTTCCAACCCTTATAACTATCCCCAAAGGGAGTATTTATAGGGAAAATATGAGCTGAACTACCAAGTCTTGAGTTTAAGAGATCCATTACAATATAAAGACTCTATTGGGCTGATTACATTAGAAGTCTAGTTCTGTGAGTTCCTTCTGATAGTGACGCTCGGTCGATGGAGACCCTGTCAGGATGGGGCGCTCGGCCGATGGAGACCTTGCCAGGATGGGGACGCTCGACCGATGAAGACCTTGCCAGGATGGGGACGCTCGGCTGATGGAGACCTTGCCAGGATGGGGAGTTGGGGACGCTTGGCCAATGGGGGTGCAATTTGGCCGATGCGACACCACATGATGTCGATCTTCTGTGTTTAATCTTCTGAATATGTGGGCCGTGGGGGTCTGGTCCCATCATATACTCTATCAGGAAGATATAAATCGAGTTCTGATCACTCATTGATGAACAAAGAGTGAGGTTTACTTCTAAGTCATTGCTTTGAGTTGAATTTCGGACCTCTCATTTGTGACATCCTCTTCTGATAAGGTGGGTTACTAATATAGTGATATATAACCTCTGTTCCACAAAATTCTTCCGTGTTTGACTTGCATCGGAATTTAAGAAAGATGAAATGTATGGATGTGATTAATAAGAGAAAAGTAAATGAATGTTAGTCATACAAAACTTTCCAAAAAAGGAAATGATAAGATTTTTTTGGGACATCCTTAGAAGGTAAGCTAGAAGAATTTTATGTGACGAACGAAGTATATGTTAATATGTGTAGAGTAGTTGCTCAACCAGTAAGCACATACTCCGTATAACATACATGGTTTACCTGCTTAAACGCGATGTGTGTAAATTAATCTTACTTCAACACCTCCCAAATTAAAGGAGATTTCAACGAATAGGAGTAAAAGGTACGGATTTTCCTAAAGTAAGACCTAAGATTCGCGTAAGACTTAACTACACCTGAATTGACCACAATACCCTTACCTTTAGGAAATAACAGACATTAAATAGACAATAAATAGACAATAAGTAGACAATAAATAAACAATAAATTCTGATAAAATAATCTATTCAAATCCAAGTGTGATCTGCTCGAGTACAACTGCGACGGCGGAGTTGAACCGCGACTTGGACGGTGTGGCAAGGCAGAGATCTGGACGGCGAGGCGAGGCGAAGCGGAGATCTGGAGGAGAGGTGAGGCGTCGAGCGGGAGGGCATCTGCGGTCGAAGGTGGAGGCCTGCGTTCCATCACAGGGAGAGAAGCTGCGGTCGAAGGTGGGGGCCTGCGAAGTCGATGCAAGGGCGGAAGTTTTTTGGCCCGAAGGACAAATTTGGAAAGCTAGAAATAGGTTTCCTAATGTAGAACTAAATAAGTACTATGAATGGAAAAAAACATTAGCAGATACAGTATATTTTTGTAAAAGAGCTATGATTTGGTCCTACTAGGAACAAATTTCTCCCAAATTAAATCCCATTTACCCAAAGGTGTCCTCATACATACAAATGATGCCGCACAGATGTTGAAGTTAAAAGAAGTTGAGAGATACAATTACTTGTGCACCTATACATTTTACTATTATCTGTAATTTTATAAGATAGTATGATTATAAGTTCATAGACCGATAGAAGCCTGCAAGAACGGGCTGCCTCATGTGATTACTACTCCCTCCGTCCCATATTTAACTCCGGTTTGACCGGGCACGGGTTTTAAGATAGTGAAATTTGTGTGGTGGAGAGTAATGCAGAGGAGAGAGAAATGTGTAAGAATAGTTGTGAACCACATATTCTTTATCAAAAAGGGAAAAAGGAGATAAATTTGGGACGGACCGAAAAGGAAAGAATGAAGATAATTCCGGGACGGAGGGAGTACTATTTACTCCAGTCTAGAACATATGTAAATAGTGCAGGTAATTTCTTTGGGTGCATAATCACTAATCAGGCAGTCAACATTAGACTCCTTAATGCATTTTTAGCATGAAACAATTACGAAAAGAAATACAGAGTTCTTCTCAATGAGGAAACTTGAATGTGGCTGTGACCAGTGCTACTCTCCATAATCGAACTAACTGTAATGAAAGCACTATTCATTTGTTGGTGTAATAGGAAGTCCTATGATTAAATTACGTAAAATGCTAAAGGTACCCCAAAGTTGTACCCAATTTTTACCCCACCCCTAATTGTGTGGCCACAAATGGGGCAACTCATTTAAGTGGTGCCCCGCTTAAATGAGTTGCTCCATTTATGGCCACACATTAGGAGTGGGGTAAAAATGGGGTACAACTTTGGGATACCTTTAGCATAGCTCTTAAATCACAAAAGCAAATTGGTACATAATACATAAATTGTAATCAAAATAAAGAATGTGACTAGTGTATACGTCAAAATGTTTGTACTACTAAAAAATGAGGGAAGCCGGAAGTACAAGTCATGATGTAAAGATCGATCACTTAAAATGTACTCCCTCCGTCCCACTAGAAGGTTCTCGTGAACGGTTTACGATGTTTGACTGACGATAAAACAACTTAATCCCTGTTCACACTCTGATTATTTTTAGTAAATAAAATTAAAATATTCATTGGTATTCACAACGATAATTTTTTTTTGTTTTTCAGTCGTAGGAATGTCTAAATACAAAGGTAATCATATTTAGGGAAACTAAATACCAAGTATCTTTTAGTTATATCCATGGCAAAAGGATATAACTCATGTGGCAAAAGAATAATGTTACACAGAAAAGAATAGGGAGGGTTGGTCTTCTGATCTTCTTGTGTTTGACTCAATGGGTGATGAGGCGCAGCAGTCTGTTTTCTTTAATTTGCAAATACTCGATCCATGGAGCAATCCCTTAGCTTTTCTTCACTCACAAGGTAATCATCCCTATCTGATCTATGTGTACGAGAATTGCAACATATCTTGCTTCCACTTCACATCATCATCATCATCATCCCTTCCTACCTCTAGCTCGATCTACTGTATTTATAATTATTCTACCACTCCATATATCTTTGTCTCTCATGCACATATATTTTCACCATCAATCCAATACCGACGTCTCTGATCGTCTCTTTGAATTGGTCGTGTATCAACAAGGACTGATGAATATACTCTCATAAATACACATTCAGCACATATATATACCTATATACTACTAGCTTAGCTTGTACATAATTAGTAATGATGAGGAAGCCGGATCCTCCGGGAACGTCGACAATGGCGAAAGATAAGTCGGGGAAGGGTAAGCAGAAGGCGGGGGCGGCGGTTAAACTGAGGAAAGGGTTATGGTCGCCGGAAGAAGATGAGAGGCTGATGATGTACATGGTGAGGAACGGGCAAGGTTGTTGGAGCGACATTGCGCGGAACGCCGGGCTCCAGAGGTGCGGGAAGAGCTGCCGCCTCCGGTGGATCAACTACCTCCGGCCCGACCTTAAACGCGGCGCTTTTTCACCTCAAGAACAAGACCTCATCCTCCATTTGCATTCCCTTTTGGGAAACAGGTTTTTATTTTTCGCACTGCTCATTTACTTCTAAACCTTATATCTCCCTCCGTTTGACCAATGATTTTAACCCCGGCATATTAACTTAATAATTGGGGATATGAGGTGGGTGGAAAATTGACCTAAACATTTATGTATTTTCAAATAGGATTATTATGCTTTTATCTTCAAAATCTGAGTAATTACTGTCATTTTTGACAGTACAAAACTTTAAACATAAAAGTATTTTTTAACTTTGACAGTAATTACTCTTATTTATAAAATAAAAACAAGGTCGTTCTAGTTATTTTGGAATTTTAAACGTTTTTATTCGTATTTCAGAAATTTTCCCTTACTTTTTCACATAAACTTGAGCATATTAATTCCTTGGTCAATAATGATCAAGTTTGACTAACGATATTTTTTAATATAAAATCACTTAGAATATGAAAATTATATGAAAATGTTTTTTGTTAAAAATAATTTCATAAAAGTATACATGTTATCAATTTCTAATAAATACGTATTAGAATAACTAAAGTCGTTGTCCAAAGTTTATTATAATTAATCAAGAAAAGTTCAATTGGTCAAATTTTAAACATTGTAACATGCATATTATGTCATGTAATAAAATTTTCACCATTGGCCATTTGCACCCAACAGCTCAAAAGTTTTGAACTTCTTTTTACTAAAGTTCCTTTCCATTTTTTACACCAAGAATATCATCCCAATATATAAAGGAACTTTATATGAAGCAAATAATGTAGCTAACGTTTCATTTAGATTCTCTAAAAAACGTTTCATTCAGATAAAAAAATGGTATGATTAGATCTTAATAGATTAGTTAGGAATCAATATAAAAAAAATTAGTAATAAAGAATGAAAATGAAAATGACAATCTTAATTGATAACCAATAGCAATATTGTTATACGAAACTATAACCTTTTTTATAGTATATGAAACGTTAACTTATAAAGTTATCTAAATTTATCTGACGCGCTGTAAGTCTGTAATCAATATGTACAACATTTTTGTTTTTATTACCCGTTTAAGGTAATTACCGACTTCAATGAACAAATTGTGGTGTCCCTTTTCAAAAGTAATTACATACGAAGTATATCATAATCAATTATGTAATCAATTATTGAATTTTATAAGTATTAACTATTGAAGTTTGACATAAGTTCGTTGTATATAATCGTCAATTCTATTTTTGTATATTACTACTCCGTATATAATATCCTGAATTACTTTTCCGATTAAGGATGAAACTTCATATTAAGACTACTTTCATTACTATTGGGAGCGTAGCCGCGTAAGAAATAAGGGAATATGAGAAACCTCAAAAACCATATATTAACTCTGTCCCGGCCGGTGATTTTAATTTACCAACTCCGGTCTCCTTTGATCTAGTCTAATATGAGACTGAAAACGATCCAAGTAAAAACAATGTGATTCTTCATAGATGACTTTAATCTCAATATACATTCATCATTGTATGTGATTTTAATGTCAGGTTATGTTTAACTTTTTACAGTAATGAACATCACGCTATACTTGTAATAACTCGTAGCATTTTCTTCATAATTTTTAAATTTCAATCATATTTTAGGAATTGTATATTTTAATGCGCAATTTTTTGTGTGTAAAGATTTATATGATCAAATTTTAGTTTGGGTTTCACTCGAAATTCGTTATTTGGGGTGTCATCGTCACTAATGATTTTGGTGTGCATCACACGACTCACACGAAAGAATCGTCTAAATCAATTCAAATCCGTGCATTAATTTATGGATGAAGTTACTACTTCTTTGGAGTCGTTTTATTCAAGGTAGTCACTTGCTTTTGGCACAAGATTTGATTTTACTCAATGGGTTATATTTTATCAGTAAATTTATTCTACGTATATCAGCCATATATGTTAGTAAGACTAAGAGTAGCATTATGTGATGGGAAATTGATGTTTCAATCTTACTTGTCAAACACTCTATGAAAACTTTCCGGAAAACTGATTTTCAAAGGTATATAATTGCAATATTGCATGCATTTGGCAAACATTTAAACCGAAGGTATTGTCATTTGTGGGTCGATACAAAAAAATTCAGATATATTTTCACATAAATTTATACACAAAAAATAAAAATAATTTTCAAATTTGGGTTGGCCCTCCCCTCTACCTCCGCCCTTGCCATCAAGGTCTTCACTTTTCTGGTAGTAGAAAAATATTTAGTAATTGTTCTATTTAAAAAATATTTAGTAACTTTTCTAAATAGAATGAAAATCATAAACTTACTCAATTATGAATGAACGATTCTTATATTAAAATAAGATAATAATGTTGATCCTATGTCTATGTTTTAATCATATTTAATTCATTGTATATCGTTTAATTACTAGAAGTTTAAATTGTAATGTAGACATTATATTAAACAAATGAAGTTGTGACCTGCATATAAAAAACACTACGGAGACACAGAGTAAAAAATAATTATCTTTGAAGAGATATAATTGTCTTTCTTTGAAATAGTTTGTTACATTTAATGTTGCAACATCGATCTTGTGTCTTGTTGCTTCTGTTACACGTACCACACAGTTATGTAAATGAGGAAATACACAAAAATAAGAATAAATAAGATTTGAAATTTCAAAATAGGATTGATATATTTTTCTTGCTGAAATATGAGTAACATGACAATATTTACTAACCTCTTAGAATCATTACTATCAAATTAAGAGCATCTCCAATCCTTAGTTGTTGACATTAAAACTTTTATGGCACATGTCAATAGATGTATGGAATGTCTAACCACATAGGATGAATGTCAAAACCCGAAAATTGAAATCCTCAAAAACCTCCCCAACGCAACACGTCGAGATCATGCTGTTTTGTCCAATTGGAATTTAATTAATTCAAATTTAAGCCTTTCGTAACTACTCAGCCTGTATAACTGGCTTTTGAGAATGGGAAAGTGGGTTTGAAAGTGTTGACATTAAATTTTGACAACTCAGCATCACTTGTGCGAATAAAGAGAGCATTGAAGCAAAAAATTTGACACACTTTCAAAGGAGATTACCTGGCTCCGTTTTTTTACTGTTAAAAGCATCCCATTAGAGATGCTCTAATTGCAGTACTAGACATTGACACGACAATATTTACTTCCTTTAGTGACAATCTTTTTCGATCCTATCAAAACTTGTTAACAGAATTTCTCATGTATATATATTATTAATATATATTAATATAATTACTCTACAAAAGGCTATCATTTGTAATATACTCTACATAGTTTTATAATGGAACCCGTAGTTACACAGATTTTTGTAACGTAATTGTTACGTGTGGTGAAACACCGTAAGAAATTACCTTTGGCGACTTTTGTATATCAGAGCTGTTTTCGGATATATGACGAAAGGTGTTTGGACGTTTGGTTGTTAAACCGCTTGTCAAACTTTTTTAACTTCTTAAAGTTGACTTTAACTAGTTCACGTCACATGTATGGCGATGAATTTATTTCAATTATTTGGTAATAGTTTTGTTTCGGGAGGAGTTTATTTGAGAAAGTTCCCGAAACAGGACTAAAATAGTTTCAAAATTCTAAAATAGGATTGCCATGTTTTTATTCCTAAAATAGGACTAATTACTGCCATGTTTAAAAAATACTGACATGTTTGAAGTCTGGTACTGCCAAAACATGGCAGTAATTAGTCCTATTTTGGGAATAAAAACATGACAATCATATTTTGGAATTTTGAAACTGTTTTAGTCCTATTTCGGGTAATATCTCAGTTTACTTTGAATTTAATTTTTAGGCTATATTTAACTTTTACACCTTTTTCTATCATTTGCAATGAAGCCAAAGATTCATTATTTTTGGACTTGAGATTATGGTGGAATAAAGCAAAATGACTCACTAAATTGTCTGCGCTTCTTTGTTATGAAGCAACAGTCAGTCCATGCAATTTTGGACGCGATTTTCACTATGGGTCATCCGGAAACCGTCTCTCTGTGCTTTAGTACAAGGGTAAGACTGCGTACATCTGATCCCCCTACACCACCGTAGGTGGGAGCCTTTGCGGCACTGGGGTAAATGAAAATAAAAAAATTAAATGAAATTTAACTTTTACACCTTATTTGTCAAAATAGATATGTGTACATCTCATTTAATATAAAATTATTTAACTTTATATCATATTCCTACATAACTTTTGTAATACACACGTTAATAATTTTAAAAATGTAGTACAATGCCAAAATTTTAATAATACTTGTAACATTTAAAGAAAACCCTTTTTTTCCCTATATTGTACGCTGTATATATTTTATTAATATAAAATAAGTAGTAGTAGTCGCAACAAAAATAATAGTAATAATAGTTATTTTTTTTTGAAGGAAATAACTCATATTAAAAACAAACGAACCAAGTAAACAACATGTCCCAAGATCTACACTTCCCTCTCTCCAAACAAAACGTAAAGCCCATCGCCCCCCTCACGTCATGATCAGACATAGAATAGTCTACTCCGGATAGAGTGAGACTAATCACTGAAACGGTTAGAGCAAAGAGACTATTAGCGGCTGAGTCAGCCTGACTTCGAAGAAGAACCTGGAAATCACCTTTACATGTCACGCCGCCCTCCTATGTAATACTACCTCCGTCCCGCTATGATTGTCCCGCTTTACCTTATCGGTCCGTCCCACTAAGATTGTCTCATACCAAATTTGGTAAAGTTTGTGTGGCTCTAAATCATTCTTACTTTATTCTTACTTTATCAATTCAATATCAACCACATAAACCACTTTTTATTAATTTGCGTGTCACTCCCTCTTGTCCCATTGTTAGCGGGACAGAGGGAGTAATAGTTATAAAAATAACAATAATAATAACCGTAATCGTAAATAAGAAAACATGACATATATATTACCAACATAAAGATAATGGGCAAAAAAGTGAATTATTATATTAGTAACTTTTGGTGACAAAAAAATCTTATGTTAGCGACTATATTTCAGTAATTAAATGAAAAAAATTGACTGTACATATCTTTTGGTCCCTTAAAATTTTGTCAGACTTTTCTTTTTTAACTGTTACACTAACTTTGTTACTTTCCCATTTCATTGAGAGTGATCGACATAGTTGATGTGTGTTGCAGGTGGTCTCAAATTGCGGCACGGCTCCCCGGCCGGACGGACAACGAAATCAAGAATTTCTGGAACTCCACCATCAAGAAGAAGTTGAAAAATGCCAACTCAACGCTTTCCCCCAACGCCACCGATTCGTCCTCGGATAATAACCCAATGGCTTTCCTCGGAGGAGGAGGATCGACCTCCGCCGCCGCCGCCTCAATTCCCTCCATGCAACACAATCAACCGGATTCTTCATCTTCTTCAATGCTACCAAACGCCCACCCCCACCACCAACACTTTGACCCTTTTCCTCAGCATCATCAACAGCACAACTACGACGAGGCCGTACATTTGTTCGGCTTTCCGCCGTGTATGACGGCCGGAGCTAGTGGCTGTGGTGACCAAAGTGCCTTTCTTGGTGACTATAATTTTTTCGTGGAGCCCTATGCTGTGATGGGATTGGAAAAAGACCTTTCTGTCCCTGCATTGGAGAGCTGTTGTACTAGCATTACTCATAACGAAAAAGAGAATGTTGAGTACAATGCTACCAATAATAATAGTGTTATTGAAAGCTATGGAGTTGGAGATGGGGATGATATTGTTAACGTTGACAATTGTGACATCTTTGACAAAAATGGGAATGATGTTGTTTGCAACAACATTAGCAATAACCAACATTTGGTCAATATTGACATGACAGATCTTAACGTTGAGGATTACATGGTCAATGCTTATGGAAACCATCATTGGAGTGGAGAAAGCTTAAGGATGGGAGACTTTTTGGATTGGGAAGGTTTGTTGGCTAATCTCCCTTCCTTACCTTACTTTTGATTCATTACTTTCATGAATTGAATCAAAGAGTAGGCTATCCTTTTCAAGTTTGCAAAGTACATAGGGTTTTGCTTCTCTCTTTCTCTCGGGTTTAGTGCATGAAACCCCATTGTGATATAGAAATTCATTGTATTAGTCCTTTGTAATTCAAAAAATGCGTCAAATCTCTTGTATTATAATTATTCATGCACAGAACCCCTAGTTTTATTAACAAATTTAACAATTTGGAAACTACTTTTCTTAATATTGTGATTGAATATGCAAGTAAATTTGTCAAAATCTCTAAATTGTACAAAAGTGTCAGTCATTTTTCTTTTATTAGATAATTAAAATTTTCCATATAAGAGATTTTGTGCATATTTATAATACACGTGGTTTGATGCATTCTTTTAAATCACATACGGAGTAGCTGATGCGCTAAATTTCTATATCACAAGGGAGTTTAAACCCATTCTCTGACAGTCTTCTCTCTAGATACACATATTCGTGGAATAAATCTCGAATGAGAGGTGTGTGAATTATTGTATACAAGGACAATGGCGGTGTATATAATTTTCATTCATTTTGGAGATGAATAATAAGGATGATCTGAGTTGATGGTAGGCGGCAAATAAACAAGAATGTATAGTTGTCCAGAAGAGCAATTGAAGGTGTGAATAGAAAGATAGAATAATTGAGGTTATTCATATGCATTTATGCTGATCCATAGCATATATATATACTCCATAACAGATAGACTTTGGAGGTGGGGTTTGAATGTAGTCGGATGAAATCAATGTTCATATATAGGAGATTTATTTTTTGCCTTTTTCTTTCAAGGAGATAAAGGTTTCAATTCACCTTGTGATACTTGTACTATATATATACTTGTTCCAGCCAAAGAATAAAATCCTATTTGAATTACTTTTGTGCGTATTTACTTTATTTATAGAGTTTGGTTTAGACGTTTAATTAGAATAAAATACAGAAGAAATTAAGAAAGAAAGAAAGAGATTGGAAAAAGAGCAATGATAGAGAAATACTATGGTAATTAATTATGTATAGATATGATGTTTGGTATATGCTAATGATGTGAGTTTTCTCGCAATCAAATTGATAGTAGAATAATGGTGAAAGTACGAGTATCGTCTCCACATGGATGGAAAAAGGGAATTAGGAATTAACTATATTCAGCAATTAAAAAGAAATAAAATAAATGCAGTCGTGCGAGATTTTGATTGGTTTTGAAAATTAAATGCAAATTAACTAATAAATAAATGGTTGGTTTCTCTGTAATTAACGACGATGGGAACATGGATTGATTCCGGGGTAACCAGATTTCTGACTGATCAGGCTTAATTACATGAAATTAATTAATTGGGCCTAGCTAATCATTACTAAGTTCTTACTGCTCTCGCGGCGTAGAGTACAATAATTTAGGGGACCAGACTGATTTCTCATGCGACAGGTTCCTAAATTATTGCCAAGACGAGCGAGCTTACGGCCTTTAATCGCTACTAATCTCTTAGCGAGCGATTAAGTGTGTGTGAAGGTGTCTTAGAATAAACTAGATCTTTCTTAATTTATTCTACAAGCAATTGTAAATCTAGCTGCAATTCTAGTTACAAAAGATATCAGTTAAATCATTCAAACACAAATTAAACACATTCATTCAATTAATCCATCACGAATTTAGCCATACATCGTGATTAACCCCTTCATCAATCTCAAATCCCTAATTAAAACTACTCCCGACTCATAATTGAACAATCAATAGAATTGGGATGAATAGAAATAATTGTCATTAATTAAAAAGATGAAACTTACAAATAATCCTAGGGTCTGAGCAAAATAGCGGAAAAACTAGTCTAAACTCGTGCCTAGACCTCTCTCCAAGTTTTGTTTCGGCGTTAGGCACGGCGCCAGGCACGACTGTGCCTGCGCCCGTGCGTCCGGAGCACAGCCGAGAATTCGCGTCCAGGCACGGCGTGCGTCCCTTCTTAGGCACGACCGTGCCTGGCCTCCAGCATGTTGGTACCTCTTTACACTGCATGCACGACATACGTCCATTGCCAGGCACGACCATGCCTGATCTCCAGCGGGTTGGCGCTTCGTAATACTACAAGCACGGCGTGCCTATCTCCCAGGCACAACCGTGCTTGGCCCTTTCCCGTCGCCTAATCATCTCATAGGCACGCACGTCATGCTTGAATGCTGGGCACGACCGTGCGTGACCTTTTCTTCATTGTTTGTCTTCGTTTCTTCTTCCAAACGCTCCCGAATGCTCCTGAATCGATCCCAAAGGTCTTCTCTTCATTATTTCTTCACCGTGAACCTCCCGAAGACCTCCAAAACTCTCGAAACTCTCTTGAAACTCATCAATTCTTCTTGATTTCTTCTCAAGCGCCGGTGCCAGATCTACTTTACCTGATTTTTTGACTCCAAACAACATAAAACTCGAACCAACGCCTGATACACATAACTTGAGCTAAAATTGAGATTTGTGACACCTAAAAGTTAGGAAAAACATCAAAATTCGATCCCAACACGCATTAAATGCATGTTGTAATACAGACTTATCAGCCAACTATTAGTATTTCTACATACTAGTGTAACACTCGGGGCATGCCCCGGATAGTAACACATTGATCTGAATTAAAATGGAAATATTAATAAGGCTGTGAATTATTTATAGAAGTTCTTAATAATGTTTTCTGTGTTGAAAAAAAACACATGTTTACGACTATTTTGTTGAGAAATGAGAAACGATTTTAAGGAATTTATGTGTGTATGATTTATTATTATTTTGGTCTTGGACTTAGTTTTATTTTTATTTTCTATTTATGAGAATATTAGTTGAAAAAGGTTTATAGAATCCAAAGTAATAAAAATAGAGGGTAATGAAAATATCAATATGTGAAGTATCACTCATATTTTTAAGAGAAAATTACACTTTTGTATTTAAATACTTCAATTTTTTGTTGAGAAACTTTGTACTTCTTCTATTGTTGTCTTTGAAGAGGATTAAAAGAAATCGGACGGTTGTCGTAACGAAGGTAATTGAACCCCTATTCTTGTTGAGAGCAAATTGAAATTTTAAGATTCCTAGTGTTGACTTGTGGCAAAAGGCTCTTTACACACTGTATTTTTCGAGAAACTACAAATTGACATGTGTGTCAATACGATAAATATCATGATATTCTATTGATGTATGCATATTAGAGATTTTATGTGCAAGTTAGAGAATCACGCTATCGTTCCATAAAAGTTGCAACATTGGAATTTCTGCACTATTCACACATCTTACTTTGACTACAATTTTCTAATAATATATATAATAAAAATATTATGTATAAAATATTAATAAATTTATATTAATGTAAATTTCCAATATATTAACTTTTTTTAATGTTTACTAATACGTAAATAAATATAATTACAGTCAAAGTTGCGCGTTGACAAACCTGAAAGTCAAACCGTTGCAACTTTTATGGAACGGAGGATAGTATGTAACAAATCAAATTCATAGGGTTGAGGTAAAATTTTAATTGGACGTTCCATGAAAACTTATAACATTTGATTGTGAATGTTACTTGATAGTTAGAATTGGATTTGAAATAATGTTATTGACAAAATATATACGTGATATCAGTTTAGTAGCAAATAAAAATACTACAATATAAGTAATTAAATACTAAATTTCTGTAGAACATTATTTATCTAGAAATTCTGGATTATGGAGTCTTTTTTTAAGGTAAAACAAATTTATTAGATGGAATTAATGAAATGTACATTACATGTATTAATTTCCTAGACTCCTGAACATAATAAAATTTCCAAATTAGAGTCCTATTCGTCTGTCTTATAACCAATAACAGAGTGACATGTCAACGTTATATGGACAGAAATGCACCTTAGAGAAGATAGCTAGTTTTGTCCTCGTTAGGGTTAAGGAAAGACCTGCTTGCCCTGGCAGCCTTGCCTTTCTTACTAGATTACCTTCTCAAATACTGTCTTTCCTTTCGGGGATTACGCTACCGCCCCTTACAATAGGAATTCATGACATAGTTTCTCGGACGAGGAGTCTAGAGTGAGTTGATATAAGTCACAAGTCGTAGCGTAGCCAAATCCTAATTTACATTGAATTCCCGTAAGCCCGTATCTAGCTTTTCGTTGATAAAGAGACTAGGATTTTCTTTAGTAGTCAATGCCTAAGTTTGCCTCTCTGGTTGGTTTAATTTGTTCACAAGCTTCTTGGCATCTAGTATACCTACTCTCATGGAAGAAGGGCGTAGGTCTCGCAATTCCCTCTTACCCGGAGGAATGATAATGTAACACCGTCCCCAAATGTATTTATCTTTAAGCTAATAATTTATTGAACCCTATGAAATTTTTAGTGAATTTACGAAGTTGTGAATTTGTATTAATTTTTTCGCGTGAATAAGTAAAATGCACGTGGGGCCCACATCGGGAGTGGGGACCGCCCGATATTATCGAGGCCACATATTATATTGATCTTGGACTAGATAATATGTATATGGTGGTGGATATCCTAGTTGAGCCATGACAATGGCATAGGGTTGACCGGTTGGTCAAACGGGGCCAAATTATCAGTATCGGCAATCTATCAGATAACAGCCCGAAAAGGGATTTCGGAGACTTCTAAATTAAAGTTGAGGGATGCATATTGATTCTAAGGTCCATTAAGAATTGGGAACAAGTGTTATATTTTATTTGACCCGATAAAATAAAATATACTTAAAACAGTCCGGAAAAATACAACTTTCGGGACCGATTGTACACTTCTGGACCAAAAGGGTTGACCTCCCACATGGGTGGGGGCCAACCCACGATTTTAGCCTCATTATTCAGGGCCTGAGCAGGCTGGTAGGAGAGTTGAGGTGGGAGAGGACTGATTTGAGATGTTTGGCATCAAAACAAATCATGGTGGCCCTCCTCCCTTTCACTCATTGCCCAAAAGGAGACAAAGGGGCATTCCTACCCATCCCCTTCCTCACTAGTTCGGCCAGCAGCAAGGGAAAGGAGGAAAGAACCTCTACAACTTCATCTCCATAGCCCCAAATCCGAACTCAAGCTCAAGGGAGTCCAAGAAGAAAGTTTAAGAAGGAAAAAGCTAGGAAAAAGTGTGAAAATTAAGGTAATGACCTTATCATAACTTTTCCTTTGTTTTTCTTCTAGCATATAAGATATATATCATATGAAAGGCCTTTAGTATTGTTCTACATGATTTAAGTGTGGAATAATGGGTTGGAAAGTGATTCTAAGTCCAAAAACGGACTTAGAAGCCAAATCGGCCGGTTTGTCGGAAAATAACCTTTTATAGGTTATTTGTGTTGATATGGGTTTTGTGATGATAAAACCTTGTTAGGAACTTGATTTAAAGTATTTTTGAGCTTCTCCGGAGTTTCGTCGGAGTTGGTCAAAGTTCGCCGGAGTTGGTCAAAGTTCGCCGGAATTAGTCAAAGTTCAATCGAGGAGCATAGAACGCGCTTAAGCTTAATTAAGGTGAGGATGACCGACTATGTTGCTTATAATCTTTGGGTTAATCTCATGGGATTTCCTAAGTGAATACAAATGTGATGTGCATGGGTTGTTAATGGTTATTAATGCCTAAATAAAACTACTATTGATTTTAAGTATAGTATGCATGATACACAAATTTATGAATAAATTGTGTATGTTTAGATGTCATGATTATGTGTGTATGATGGTTGTACCAACCATGAATCTCATTTGAGATGGTATACTTGATACCATGAGGAGAAGCCATGAAGGTATGGAAGTGATACTTGATATTAAGGCAAATCATGCATGAAGAAAGAATTATATTGAAATAAATAAATAACTAGCATTGAAATATTAGTTGGAAATGTTAGTTGAGAAATGGATGAATTAGATCATAAGAATTTGAATTATAAAGAATCGGTGATTATGAGCCGGGCTCAAGACCGATGTAGATAACGGTGATTATGAGCTGGGCTCTAGACCGTAGTAGATGACGGTGATTATGAGCTGGGCTCTAGACCGTAGTAGATGACGGTGATTATGAGCTGGGCTCTAGACCGTAGTAGATAACGGTGATTATGAGCTGGGATCTAGACCGTAGTAGATAACGTTGATTATGAGCTGGGCTCTAGACCGTAGTAGATAACGGTGATTATGAGCGGGGCTCTAGACCGTAGTAGATAACGGTGATTATGAGCTGGGCTCTAGACCGTAGTAAATAAATGATGAATTGATACTAAATGAACGGATTAACTATAATGTAATGATGTTCTAGATTGAGGGCCTTAGAGATTTAAACTTCGATTATACTTAGTATAGTTGTCATTGTACTTGTCAAATGCTTCCAAGTACTGACCTCCCCTTCACGGGGGAGGCCACCTCACAGTTTCAGGTAGAACTTGAAGGTTGCTACTACCAGCCGCTGTTCGGGAAGTTCTGAGAAGAAGACTTGGTTCGTGCTTCTTCCGTTCTCATTTTGAAAACAATATGAATAATGCTCATGGATAATATTTTCTGAATAATTACTTTGGGGGCTTGCATGCCTAATTATGCCAAGTGTGGCTTGAACACTTGTATCAATTGTTTCCGCTGCTTTAATAAATGTTTTACATTATGTTTGTTTATGGATGTACTATGTGTGAATGGTATTCAAGACGCCTTGTATAGTATGGATGAGTCGGACTGCGGTTGACTATTCGTTCTGTACGGCGGGTTGTTGACGTGTCCGGGTAGGTCCGGGGCGTGACAATTTAAATGGTATCAGAGCCTTAGTCCGTAAACATCATAATGAAGCTTCAAATTTTCTTTTTGAAAATGAATTTGAAAAACCATGAGCATAAGTTTTGTACTTATAGAACTTTTGGTACTTGAGTTGCAATGCCTCTAATTGTTAAGATGGTACCCTTAACAATTGGTATGGCGGTGATACGAGCCGAAGGATGTCTTTAAGTACCCGTCCGTCATTTGACATTCGATACGAGTCTAATGACTCATTCTAATTTCTTTCAGAAATGGAACCAATTGGAAGGATCACTAGAAGGAACCCGTTGGGCCGTGCACCGGGTGGGTCCGAGCACGGTAGCCGGGGGTCCTCTAGGGGATCAAGAGGAAGGGGCCGTGGAGGCCAACGTCAAACTGTGAGCGATGGCCACGTTGATACCGAGAGTGAGACCTATTGGTCCTATGAGGACTCAACATACCAGCCGGGGACTGAGCCAGTTGAGACCCCTTACGAAGAGAATGATGATGATGTGAGTGATGGGGAGGAAAGTGGCTCCTTGGCCAGGATCGAAGCGCTGCTCCAATAGTATCATCGGGAGCGCGAAGAAAGGAGGGCACGCCGAAGGCACCGTGCAGGGCAACCTTCGGGCGGGGCTCCAAGAGGGAGGAGCTTTTGCGATTCGAGAACCCATGTGGAAGCGCATGGAAGTCGGGGTGATGGAGGTCCAGCCATAAGGATCTCCAAATACATCAAAGAGGCGAGGGACTTAGTGTGCAAACCGTTCGATGGGACGGGAGACATCTCGGTTGCCGCCCAGTGGATCAAGAGGCTGAACGAGGCAGCCCTTGACATGCAGCTCACCCCCGATTTTAAACTGAGAATCGCGGTAAGGTTACTCGAAGGGTTGGCATCCAAATGGTGGGATGGAACCAAGGGTAAGTATGGCGGAACTGTTACATGGGAGGATTTTCGACAAGAATTCTTTGCCCAGTACTACTCTGACTTCGAAGTAAACGCCAAGGTGAGGGAATACACTCTCCTAACCCAATGTGGTAACATGACGGTGAAAGAACTTGAGAACAAGTTCAGAGATCTTGCTGATCACATACCGGAGTATGCTTGTGATGAAAACCGAATGGTGAATCATTTTTGGGAGGCCTTAGACTTGGAGATACGTGACAGGGCAACTCAATTGCCCAATATGACTTTCAGCCAAGTGGTCGCCCAAGGGTTGAAGGGAGAAAAGCAATGGGAGGAGAGGAAGAAGAGAGATGCCGAAGAGGCTAAGAAAAGAAAGTGGGAAAGCCATGGCCCCCAAGGCCCCAACAAGAAGGGGAACTATGGGGGAGGTGGATCGTTCAGGGCACCGGCAGCACCATCCAAGGGAAACCCGGCCACAAGCGGGCACTACTCGGGCTCACAAGCCCCAACGGCGCCCAGGTGCAGGAATTGCAACAGGAACCACACCGGTAAGTGTCGTGATCCGCCACGGTGCTACCAATGCGGGAGTACAGGGCATATTAAGCCAAACTGCCCTTAACTTGGTGGGAACCGGGGGTCAGGACTAAGCGGCGCTACCACGGCAAGTAGGAACCGGGCCGGAGCATCTCATGCCAGTGTGGGCCAGGGGGGAGCAAGCACAAGTAATGCGCCGTCCGTGAATCAAGGAAGAACTCAAGCTAGAGTTTATGCGATGACGGAGGCGGACGCACGTGCTAACCCGGACTCTGTGGCGGGTAAGATCTTAAACTCACGATATTACACCATTGTATGCAATAGGAGTGTTTGTAAGGTGCAAAATTTGTAACCCCGACGGTTTGGTCGGGATTGTGGGAAAAAGGGGAGGAAAAACCACCGCCCTGGGCGAATGCCGCCCGGCATTTGACGAAAGCCGCCCGGCTTTCGTCTTGAAATGTTGAGAAAATGCTGCGGCGACGAATGCCGGCCGGTTTCCACCAAAGCCGCCCGGCTTTCGTCATCAATTAATCAGGAAAATCCTCGCAACCAAAAACCGGCCGGCTTTTGTAAAGACCGGCCGGCTTTCATAAAGGACTGACCTGAGAATTTTCTCGCAGCTGAAAGCCGCCCGGCTTTCGTCGGGCCTAGGAATTCCTGCGCTGCTGAAACCCGGCCGGGTTTTGTATAAACCGGCCGTCTTCGAAACCACTCCCTGAATAAAAACTACGGCGACGAAAACCGCCCGACTTTCGTAAAAGCCGCCCGGCTTTTGTGATTAAATACTTAGAATTTTTTCTCGCAGTCGAAAACCGGCCGGCTTTCGTGAAAAGCGGCCGGCTTTCACCTGGATTGGTCCTAAAACGGTCCTAAAGGTTAGAAACCGGGAAATTTCGGAAGGGTATCGAACGGACCCCACCCGAAATACAACCAACATACTCTACGACTTAAGAAACGAACCTATTAATTAGATAGTGTGTCTTACATTACTTATGAATGTAGGAACACTAAAGATAAACGGGAGAGACGCAAGAATCCTTATTGATACCGGGGCGCAACGATCATTTGTTAGTGAGGCGTTCGCCAGCGGATTCAACGGACCACTTGTACCGATGACTCAAACCCTATTGGTGTCCACGCCTTTAAGGGATGATATCGAGAGAGATAGCCACTATCCATCGTGTGAGGTGGAAGTGGAGGGCCAAACCTTGACGTGTGACCTCGTACCGCTGAGTATGATCAAGTTCGATGCAATTCTAGGAATGGATTGGCTTGAGAAACATCATGCTAGGGTCGATTGCTACACGAAGGTTCTTGAACTCGATGGCGGCGAAGGGTTGACCTTGCGCTTCGAGGGAGATAGAGGCAAATCAAACTGTTGTATCATATCCGCCGTGAGAGCAAGGAATATGATGAGAAAGGGGTGCCACGCATACCTAGCGTATGTGGTGGACAAAACCAAAGAAGAGATAGACATCAATGATGTGAGAGTTGTGTGCAAGTATCCGGATGTCTTCCCAAAAGACTTGCCGGGACTTCCACCCGATAGGGAGATTGAGTTCGTGATCGAGGTCGAACCCGGCACCAAACCAATCTCTATACCGCCATACAGAATGGCACCCGCTGAACTTAACGAGTTGAAAACCCAATTGCAAGAGCTATTGGATAGCGGTTTCATAAGGCCGAGTCACTCTCCGTGGGGAGCACCGGTCCTTTTCGTGAAAAAGAAAGATGGAACACTTCGAATGTGCATTGACTATCGTCAACTGAACAAGGTCACAATCAAGAATAGGTATCCCTTGCCTAGAATTGATGACTTGTTTGATCAGCTCCGAGGAGCGACGGTGTTTTCGAAGATTGACTTGAGGTCGGGGTACCACCAACTGAAAATAAAGGAAGATGACATACCGAAGAGTGCATTCCGCACAAGGTATGGTCATTTCGAGTTCCTAGTTATGTCGTTCGGGCTAACCAACGCCCCGGCGGCATTCATGGACATGATGAACCGTGTGTTCAGTGAATACTTAGATCAATTCGTGATAGTATTCATTGACGATATTTTGATATACTCCAAGAGTGAGGGGGAGCATGAAGATCATTTGAGACTTGTACTTGAACGGCTAAGGGAAAAACAACTCTTTGCCAAATTCTCTAAATGCGAGTTTTGGCTCGAAGAGATCGGGTTCCTCGAGCATGTCGTGTCAGGTTCGGGCATTGCGGTGGATAAAGCCAAGATAGAAGCCATTATGAATTGGGAGAGACCCAAAAACGTGAAAGAAATACGTAGTTTCCTCGGCTTAGCAGGATATTATCGTAAGTTTGTTGAAAAATTTTCTGTATTGGCGTCTCCATTGACAAAGCTCACAAAGAAAGGGGCCAAGTTCATATGGGGCGACAATTGTGAGAAAGGGTTTCTCGAACTAAAGAGACGGCTTACAGAAGCACCAGTCCTCGCTCTACCCACACAAGGGATAGGGTACGACATATACAGTGACGCTAGCATCCAAGGGCTTGGATGTGTCCTAATGCAAAACGGTCGGGTGATTGCCTATGCTTCAAGGCAATTGAAGAAACACGAGGCAAACTACCCTACCCACGATCTAGAATTGGGAGCGGTAGTGTTTGCACTGAAGATTTGGCGGCATTATCTCTATGGGGAGACGTGTCACATTTTCACCGACCATAAAATCTTGAAGTATGTATTCACTCAAAAAGAGTTGAATATGAGACAGAGGAGATGGATGGAGTTGATCAAGGACTACGACTTGATCATCGACTATCATCCCGGGAAGGCCAATGTAGTCGCCGATGCACTGAGCAGAAAGAGTACATCGGGGACGTTACTCACGTGTCTACGCTCACTAAGGGCACAAGTGGAGGTGTCCACAAGTGGGGTCCTCATTGCTAGATTCGAGGTTAGGCCTACGTTGCTGAGTGAGATCAGTAGATGTCAGGCCACTGATGAAGAATGTCAGAAGATCCGTGAACAGATCCTGGAGGGACCTGTTGAGAACTTTCGGGTACGTGATGACGGTCTCTTATTGTTTAAAGGCCGTGTATGCATACCAAGGAATGAGGAGCTCCAAAAGTCAATACTGGAGGAGGCTCATTCTTCGGCGTATGCCATGCATCCAGGAGGTACTAAAATGTACCGAGACTTGAAGGAAAGTTACTGGTGGTCGGGTATGAAGAGGGACATCGCAGAGTACGTGAGTCGGTGCCTTACTTGTCAACAAGTCAAGGCGGAACATCAGCACCCGGCGGGACTTTTGCAACCACTTACCATTCCAGAATGGAAGTGGGAGCACGTGACCATGGACTTCGTGGTGGGGCTACCACGAACAGTGAACAACTATGATGCAGTATGGGTAGTGGTTGATAGGCTCACCAAGAGTGCACACTTTTTGCCTATCAACATTACTTATCCTCTTGAAAGATTGGCAAAGCTATACACGTAGGAGATTGTGAGACTGCATGGAGTTCCGATATCCATTGTCTCGGATAGGGATCCACGTTTCACATCCCGATTTTGGCCAAAATTTCAAGCATCTTTGGGTATGAAGCTAAAGTTTAGCACAGCCTTTCACCCACAGACGGATGGGCAGTCCGAGAGGGTGATACAGATTCTGGAGGATATGCTTAGGGCATGTGCTCTGGAGTTCCAAAGGAGTTGGGACAAGCATTTGGCTCTGGTCGAGTTCGCCTATAACAACAGTTATCAGGCGAGTATTGGCATGCCTCCATACGAGGCATTGTATGGGAGGAAATGTAGAACACCACTGTGTTGGGACGAGGTTGGCGAAGCCAAGCTCGAGGGGATTGAACTTGTCGAAATCACCAAGGCTAAGGTGAAGGTCATTCGGGAGAGACTCAAGGCTGCCCAAGATCGGCAAAAGAGTTATGCTGACAAACGACGCAGGCCATTGGAGTTTGAGGTCGGTGATAAGGTCTTTCTAAGGATTTCTCCTTGGAAAGGTATCATCAGATTTATATCGAGGGGAAAACTTAACCCCCGATACATTGACCCATTTGAAATCCTTGAAAGGATAGGGGTCGTGGCTTACCATATCAAATTGACGCCAGAACTTGAGAAGATACACGACGTGTTCCATGTATCGATGCTCAAGAAATACGTGCGAGATCCGTCTCATATCCTTGAGAAACCACCGGTAGAGGTGCGTGAAGACCTAGAATATGCGGTGGAACCGGTGAAGATTGTGGGTCAACAGGTAAAGAATTTGAGGAACAAAGAGATTCCTATGGTAAAGGTCCTTTGGAGGAGTGATCGAGTCGAAGAAGAAACCTGGGAGACTGAGGTCTCAATGAGGGAGCAGTACCCTTTCCTTTTCGATTAGACACGTGGATTTCGGGGACGAAATCCCAAATAAGGGGGGGTGAACTTGTAACACCGTCCCCAAATGTATTTATCTTTAAGCTAATAATTTATTGAACCCTATGAAATTTTTAGTGAATTTACGAAGTTGTGAATTTGTATTAATTGTTTCGCGTGAATAAGTAAAATGCACGTGGGGCCCACATCGGGAGTGGGGACCGCTCGATATTATCGGGGCCACATATTATATTGATCTTGGACTAGATAATATGTATATGGTGGTGGATATCCTATTTGAGCCATGACAATGGCATAGGGTTGACCGGTTGGTCAAACGGGGCCAAATTATCAGTATCGGCAATCTATCAGATAACAGCCCGAAAAGGGATTTCGGAGACTTCTAAATTAAAGTTGAGGGATGCATATTGATTCTAAGGTCCATTAAGAATTGGGAACAAGTGTTATATTTTATTTGACCCGATAAAATAAAATATACTTAAAACAGTCCGGAAAAATACAACTTTCGGGACCGATTGTACACTTCTGGACCAAAAGGGTTGACCTCCCACATGGGTGGGGGCCAACCCACGATTTTAGCCTCATTATTCAGGGCCTGAGCAGGCTGGTAGGAGAGTTGAGGTGGGAGAGGACTGATTTGAGATGTTTGACATCAAAACAAATCATGGTGGCCCTCCTCCCTTTCACTCATTGCCCAAAAGGAGACAAAGGGGCATTCCTACCCATCCCCCTCCTCACTAGTTCGTCCAGCAGAAAGGGAAAGGAGGAAAGAACCTCTACAACTTCATCTCCATAGCCCCAAATCCGAACTCAAGCTCAAGGGAGTCCAAGAAGAAAGTTTAAGAAGGAAAAAGCTAGGAAAAAGTGTGAAAATTAAGGTAATGACCTTATCATAACTTTTCCTTTGTTTTTCTTCTAGCATATAAGATATATATCATATGAAAGGCCTTTAGTATTGTTCTACATGATTTAAGTGTGGAATAATGGGTTGGAAAGTGATTCTAAGTCCAAAAACGGACTTAGAAGCCAAATCGGCCGGTTTGCCGGAAAATAACCTTTTATAGGTTATTTGTGTTGATATGGGTTTTGTGATGATAAAACCTTGTTAGGAACTTGATTTAAAGTATTTTTGAGCTTTTCCGGAGTTTCGTCGGAGTTGGTCAAAGTTCGCCGGAGTTGGTCAAAGTTCGCCGGAATTAGTCAAAGTTCAATCGAGGAGCATAGAACGCGCTTAAGCTTAATTAAGGTGAGGATGACCGACTATGTTGATTATAATATTTGGGTTAATCTCATGAGATTTCCTAAGTGAATACAAATGTGATGTGCATGGGTTGTTAATGGTTATTAATGCCTAAATAAAACTACTATTGATTTTAAGTATAGTATGCATGATACACAAATTTATGAATAAATTGTGTATGTTTAGATGTCATGATTATGTGTGTATGATGGTTGTACCAACCATGAATCTCATTTGAGATGGTATACTTGATACCATGAGGAGAAGCCATGAAGGTATGGAAGTGATACTTGATATTAAGGCAAATCATGCATGAAGAAAGAATTATATTGAAATAAATAAATAACTAGCATTGAAATATTAGTTGGAAATGTTAGTTGAGAAATGGATGAATTAGATCATAAGAATTTGAATTATAAAGAATCGGTGATTATGAGCCGGACTCAAGACCGATGTAGATAACGGTGATTATGAGCTGGGCTCTAGACCGTAGTAGATGACGTTGATTATGAGCTGGGCTCTAGACCGTAGTAGATAACGGTGATTATGAGCTGGGCTCTAGACCGTAGTAGATAACGGTGATTATGAGCTGGGCTCTAGACCGTAGTAGATAACGGTGATTATGAGCGGGGCTCTAGACCGTAGTAGATAACGGTGATTATGAGCTGGGCTCTAGACCGTAGTAAATAAATGATGAATTGATACTAAATGAACGGATTAACTATAATGTAATGATGTTCTAGATTGAGGGCCTTAGAGATTTAAACTTCGATTATACTTAGTATAGTTGTCATTGTACTTGTCAAATGCTTCCAAGTACTGACCTCCCCTTCACGGGGGAGGCCACCTCACAGGTTTCAGGTAGAACTTGAAGGTTGCTACTACCAGCCGCTGTTCGGGAAGTTCTGAGAAGAAGACTTGGTTCGTGCTTCTTCCGTTCTCATTTTGAAAACAATATGAATAATGCTCATGGATAATATTTTCTGAATAATTACTTTGGGGGCTTGCATGCCTAATTATGCCAAGTATGCCTTGAACACTTGTATCAATTGTTTCCGCTGCTTTAATAAATGTTTTACATTATGTTTTTTTATGGATGTACTATGTGTGAATGGTATTCAAGACGCCTTGTATAGTATGGATGAGTCGGACTGCGGTTGACTATTCGTTCTGTACGGCGGGTTGTTGACGTGTCCGGGTAGGTCCGGGGCGTGACAGATAAAGTCTGACGAACCTTATCTTGTATTGCTTCCGAGGTCTGCCTTCCTTGATTGAGCCCTCAAACTGGCACCGGTGGTTGCATATATAAGAAAAGGGTATATCTCATTTTCACTCAATCTTTTCTACGGACGGAAGTCAACGCAAAATAAGCGGCTTCATCTGTCACGCCCCGGACCTACCCGGACACGTCAACAACCCGCCGTACAGTACGAATAGTCAACCGCAGTCCGACTCATCCATACTATACAAGGCGTCTTGAATACCATTCACACATATTACATCCATAAACAAACATAATGTAAAACATTTATTAAAGCAGCGGAAACAGTTGATACAAGTGTTCAAGCCACACTTGGCATAATTAGGCATGCAAGTCCCCAAAGTAATTATTCAGAAAATATTATCCATGAGCATTGTTTTAAATTGTTTTCCCAAAACAGAAACGGAAGAAGCACGAACCACGTCTTCTCCCTTCAATCCTCCCGAAGCAACGGGCGGTGGCAGCAACCTTCAAGTTCTACCTGAAACTGTGAGGTGCCCCCCCCCCCCCCCCCCCCCCCGTGAAGGGGAGGTCAGTACTTGGAAACATTTGACAAGTACAATAGCAACTATACTAAGTATAATCAATGTTTAAATTTCTAAGACCCTCAATTCAGGGTGATATTACATTATAGGTCATAACCCTCGGTTACCCCTTTTTGCTATTTAAATCATACTTACTTTATATGAAGTCAAGTAGTCGGCCCGTGGGCCCATATTCATTTAGAATTCATCATTTCTATTCCCCCGTGACCGCAAGTCACGATAACCCCGTGGGGTCCCATCGAGCCCCAATTGTATAGCAAGGGCTCGGCCCAACTACATTTCTATACAATCCTCTAACTCAATATAACACATCAAAATTGTATGGCAAGGGCTCGGCCCAACTACGTTTCCATACCAACCATAACTTCGTGGCAAGGGCTCGGCCCAACTACGTTTCCACGGAGATCACATATACATAGCAAGGGCTCGGTCCAACTACGTTTCCATGCTAATCACATTACATGGCAAGGGCTCGGCCCAACTACATTTCCATACAATCCTAGAGTCCAACTCTACCTTATTTTCATAGTCCAATTCTCAAGCAAATCCTATGCCTAGAATCAATTCACTTGGGTAGCCTTTAGGCCTACCCCTACCACACCTTAGTGTTCATACAATTCAACCTTAAAGTATCTCTTAAGACTACTTGAGGCATACTCATTTACAATCCTATCTCTTAGGATTAATTCCATCATTTATTTATATTAATCTCCCGACTAGTATCCCAACACTAGTCGGATAATCTTAGAACCACCAAGTTCTTAATTCATAGCCAATTAATTCATCTCAATTGATAAATATAGTTTAATCCAAATATCAAGAATATCACTTTTAACCATTCATGAATTTCGTACATGAAGTAAAAGTATATTTTTATCACAATATTATCATAGTTAATTTCATCATCATACCATCACTTTCATATCACATAATCATACACAATTTATTCTAAATTTGTATATCATGCTTCACTTTTTCACATGCAATAGTATTTTCATTTAGGCATTATTATTCATTAATAATCCATGAAAATCACATTTAATAACTTAGGTAATCTTACGAAATTAACCCAACAATTATAAGCAATATAGTCAGTCATCCTCACCTCATGATGTGCTACAATAGTTGCCTTTGTTAAGCCCCTCGATCAATCCCAGTTCTAGGCCGATTGAAAGTGGAAAATTGGACTGCTGGGCAAAAGCCGGGTGGCTTTCACGAAAGCCGGGCGGCTTTCGTAGTCTGCAACTACGAACAGCTCCCTATATGTGGCGGTTTCCGGTGATTTCGACTCCTATCGATTCACCAACACTTCTAAGTTAAATACCACCACTTTATATCAATATTCTACACTTTTAAACGTGTAGAACATCATGTTTAATCCTCCATATGATTTCTTAAAAATTCATACACCAAAAACTAGTTAAAAGAATATAAATAGAGCTCTTACCTTGAACTCAACTATTTCTTGCTAGACCTCCTTCCTTTTTGCTTCCTTGAAGCTTGGATTTTGAGAGAAGACTTTCATAGAGCTCTCTCCTAGTGATATGTCCGAATGATGCACAATGAGTGAGGGAGATGTATCTCCATCCACTCAACTCACCAAAATAATGCATGAAAAGGACATGAGGGGTGTGGCTTTGTCTTGAGCCATCCCTTCCACTTAATAATCCGCCCCCCCCTCACTATTTCTTGTCTCATCCAGCCCTCACCTGTCTGCTAGAGCTCATAAAAACGTGGGGTGGCCCCCACTCATGTGGGAGGTCATCCCATCGTGTCCCGGCGTGTATAATCGGCCCCGAAAGTTGTATTTTTCGGACTAGAATAGATGTACATTCCCCAACATTAATTTAGGAGCCTCCGAAACTCATTTCGGGCTGTTGTCCGCTAAATTACCAATACCGGTATGATGGATAGTCTACCCGGGGGTATATATCCGAAGGGTTATTACGGGGAATAACTTAGAGAGAAGTCAGAGCAAACAAGTGAGAGAGAGAGTGTATATTCGATATGTATTTAGCGTGGTTACAAATGGGGAAATGGGGTGCTATTTATAGTAGCAATAAATGCCGGGCAGGGACACGTGTCAAGCGCCCATTGGCCGAGGGGTCGCCTCAACTGGTTGGCGCTGGCAGCCGCATGTGGTCGCATTTAATGCGGCTGTTGGATGGGATGTCTGTGCAGAGCACGGTGATCTGTACGCATGTGAGGCGGATATCTTGTCGAGTGAGATGCCTTCGGCCAAAGGCAGTAGCCGAAGGCTCCTCTCAACGAGGGCACCTTGGTGCCGAGGGCTCACAGTACCGAGGGCTACTGTTTTCGCCGTTTTCTCCCAGTTTCTTAATTTGCTTGAGAAACCCGCTCTGTGACAATTTGGAGCCTTCGGCCAGGGGTCCGAAGGCACCCCTGTGCGTTGTGCGGACTGCTTGGTACTCTGGGCGCTGTGATTTGGGCCTGTTGGGCCTGTTGGGCCTTTGCTGGAGTAGTAGGAGTCTGTGGGCCGGGGGTTCCCAGGCCATATACTCCATCAGGAGTCCCTAACTCCTTTTGCCGAAAGGTACTTGAGGGAAAAGGAGTAATTTGTGCTTGCCCTTTGATGTTGTCCTGTCGTGATCTCTGAAGTTGGTGAGGAGTCGTTGCTTTTATGTCCCTGCCGAAGGCAATCCCTCAGTTACCCACATGTCGGGACTTGAGGGCTTGCTTTGTTGTAATTTAATGATTTTCCCGAAGGGGTCCTCCAGTCCCCCACTCCTTGAGGCACTTGTAAAGTGGTGAAAAGGAGTAAAGCAGTTACGTTGCTGTTGTGGGCCGAAGGCTGACGCTTTTCGTTTCATTTTGGGGGGATGCCTCGTTAAAAACCTCATTAGGAAAAACCCTTTGGAAAAAAAAATCCTAATGAGGGAAAAAGAGTGCACCGAATTCCCCCAATGATGAATCGAAAATGTCAAACCTCGGTGAAAAATGGAGAATGACGGGAATGCCGAAGGCTCTCTCTTCTGAGGGCTCCTGTGTTGATTTGCCGAAGGCTTGCTGTTGATGTCCTGGTGGTGCCGAAGGGGAGCCCCTCAATCCAGGGATCGAGGGCCTGCCAGATGAGGGCAGCAGTGAAGTTGTTACCGGGGGTCCACTGTTCGTTGATGAGTTGGTGATGAAGATACCCGAGGGCTCCCATTACCTGTGTGCCATGGGCCCTCTATCAATGAGGCACTCCCCGGGGGCTACCCGGTTTTGCAGTGCTGAGGGGGAAACCCCGAGGGGTGCCCCTGATATGCAGCCCTGGGGATCTGAAGGAGTGATCCCGAAGGCGTGTGTAATGTGCTGTGTGGGGCACGTCCCGGGGGCACTTCTGGGTGAGTGCAACCGGAGGCAATCCTTGATGAAGTGGAGTGAAGTAGAAAACCCGGGGGCTTCCAGAATATAGCCGTTGGAAATATAGCCGTTGGAATACGTAACGATAGGATATAGCCGTTGGGGGGATGGCACACGTGGCGTGTGATGGCTGGCTGTTCGTGGGCGGCGTCACCGGTTGGGTGAAACGACGGTGCGTAATGATGGCGTCCATCCGGAGGCCCGGAATCCAGGCCCAAGCCCGGATTCTATCGCCTATAAATACCCCAAGGCCAGGCATTCCTCTGTGTGCGAAAAACCTGTTAGCGAAGCTCTGCCAATTTTTCTAGAGAGAGAAACAACAGCCTTCGGTCCTAACTCAGCTTTCGAGGTCAGTGCTCCCTGCCTTTCTCCTTCTAGCATAGCTGTACTGTGCCCTTAGTTTAGGAGATAGAAAAGTTAGGAAACACTACCGTCTACGATCCCTCGAACTAGGGTGCGAATGTCGTCCCAGAGTGACTCTCAGGACATCTCGAGGACGCCCTCGATGGAGGACGAAGGCATCTCCGATGTGGAGTCAAGCAGTGGTCAGCCCTCGGATTGTGGTGATGCAGCCCTCGCCACTGAGGTGCAGAAGGATCTGACGGCTGAGGCCGAGGCGGAGGAATTCGAGCGAACTGCCGAGGATGAAGAGTTGGCCCTCGCCGTCCAAGTTGCTGAAGAGGAGGAGGAGAAGGAGAGGGCGAAGATCACTGTGGCCGTCCTTCCCCCTCGGGGTGCTGGTGAGGCCAGTACTTCCCAGCCGCTGAACGCGGTTCCCATCCGGGTGGCCCCCGGGAAGAAGAAGGCCAAGGCGGCTGTCCCCAAGAAGAAGGTCATAGCTGCTGATCAGGGGAAACCCGTAGATATGCCGGAGGGGTATTCCTGGCTCAACATGGCTGCCTTGGAGATAAGGTCGAAGGCGGACAGGGCGGACCTCTACGTGACGCAGCTACATGTAGGGCCCTCGGCCGAGGTGGTCGAGCCGGGAGTTGACGATGTGCTCTCTCGGGCGCCTGAAGGGTGCATTGCAGTACACGTGCTGTCGGTCTCCATGGGCCTTCGGTTCCCGCTGCACCCCTTCCTCCGGGAGTACCTGAGGTTCGTTGGCTTGGTGCCCTGCCAGCTGACACCTAATAGCCATTCCTACGTGGCGGGTTTTTTAAACCTCTGTAGGGACCGAGGGGTGACCCCCAGCCTGGACTTGTTCTTCCAGAGCTTCAACCTCTGTCGAGGGGGTCATGCGAATGCCGAGGGCTTCGCCAACCTGCAGCAGGTGGCCAGGTGGAAGCTGTTTACGGAGGCGCCTTCGTCAAACAAGGGCTGGAAGGAGCGCTGGTGCTATGTCAGGGTTGCTGAGAACCCATTCCCGGTGGAACTTCGGGATCGCTTCCGTCGGCATCCGAAGGTTGGAAGCGCCGCCCTCGAAAAAGGCGGCCTGGTGATAGCGAAAATCCCGGAGGGTCGCACCAAGCAGGTCTCCATCAAAGACTATACTGCCGACAAGGGATTCTACGCCCTCGGCTTTCGGAGGTACCGATTTATTGGTGAAGCGGATGAGAAGTACCCCGTTTTTGCTGAGGCCTTCGGGGGAATAGGAGGTAGTCTACGAGGTCCCTTAGCACATAGCTTATCCTGTTCGTGATTTTTTTTTTCTTTTTTGTTCTTTGTGCCTTCGGTCAGCGACCCCTCGATTCTAACCCCATTCCTTTGTTTTTCGCAGGTGTCCTAGTGAAAATGATGAATGTTAGAGGCCTTGCAGACTTGAAGAAGAAGAAACCCTCCAAGGGCCCGAGGGGGACGGACACCGGTGTCCCAAAACCCGCCGGTGACTTCTTCAAAAAACCGGAGGGGCCGTCGGTGGGCCCAAGCACTGATGCTGCTGCTGCCGCCAAAAGGAAGGGCTCGGGCAGAGATCCCGAGGGCAAGAAGCCCAAGACCGGGGATGCCGGGAAGAAATCCCCCCCGGTGATCATTGTTGATGAAGGCCCTGCCCCCGGGGCAGATGAGGACATGCAGGTGGCGAAGGTGCCGCCGGGAGTTCAGGGGCCATCTTCCGAGGTCCTCATGGTTTCCCTCCCGGCTGGTACGGCCGTGATGAACGGTACGGCCGACCCGAGGGCGCTTCTGAGAGGCATTACCCTCGAGATTGACAGGGTTGCCCTCGGGGCTGATGAAGACGAAGCCCTCGAGGACAGGATCCTCCGGTCCTCCCTCACAGTAAGTCTTTTACGCCTATTTCTTTCCTTTTTACTTGGAGCTAAGAAACCATATTTGGCTTTGCTAACCCCTTTGTTTTTGTAGACCTGCATTGCCCTCGGGGAGCAAGCCCGGCGGCTAGAGGAGTGGCGCCTTTGCAAGGCCGAGCAGGAGGCCAAGATGCGGGAGCTCATCCGCCAGAATGCAGACGCTGTTCGGCAGATGGCCATGCTGGAGGAGAGCCTTCGGCAGATGACCCTGCGGGCGGAGGCCGCGGATCGGAGTAGGGTAGAAGCCGAGAGGTCCGCAGCTGAGGCCTTGGAGAAAGCTGCCAAGGAAGCCGAGGCCGCGAAGGTTGAAGCCGTCGAGAGAGCCCGGGAGGACGCAATCTCGGGGTTCTTGGCAGGGGGATGGCGGTCCGAGGAGCACAAGCAATGGCTGTCCTCGGTCGTCGAGTCCTCGGTCGACGAGTGGTGTGATGGGCCTGGCGTGGAGTGGGTTTCCCGAAAGGGTAAACAATACTACGATGGGGGCGAGTTTTTCACTCAAGCCCTCATCTATCGGAGGATGGCTCGCCACTTGAAGATCGAGCCAAAGGACTTTGACCCGGCAGCATACGGGCTCCCCCCTGCAGCCAGACATCCGCGTTCCTCTTCCCCCCGATGTCGAGAGGCCAGACCTAGAGGACTCTGAGCTCATGAAGGAAGCCGAGGGCGACGAACCTGAGGCCGACGCAGAAGTGACCTCGAAGCCATCGGGGGAGGCGGCCCCCGGGAGTAACATGATTTGATATGTACTTTTTATCATGTAAACATATACTTGTAATGATGACATTATTCATCCCTCGGCTTCGGCCTGCTTGTAATTTCACACTTACTCTTGTTTTTTATGAAATGCATGCTGCCTCCGGACTTTTCATCTTCGAATGCGCCTTATGTTTTGAATGTATGCCTTCTCCTTTGAATGTATACCTTCGGTATTTTTGAATGTATGTCTAGGACTTAGAATACTACCTGATTGTAGCTAGCCCTTAGGAGCCTTCGGTAGTTGGGCACCCTCTGCTGGATATGCAAACGATGGTTCGGCAGCAATTAGGACTTAGAAAATTTTTTCTAAGTGTAGCACAACATGAGGCCTTCGGGCGTTTGTAGTAACCCACATCCTAGGACTTAGAAAAATCTCTAAGTGTAGATTCCCCCTTGAGAGTCTTCGGGATATGGCGCCCATTCCTGATGTGTGAATGTTGGACCGAGGGCCCAATGCACAGGACTTAGAGATTTTTTGCAAGTGTAGTATGCCATTTAGCCTTCGGCTACTGTGGAGCCCCACCTGTAATATGGAATAGGCCGGGGGCTAATTCTTTTAGGACTTAGAAGATTTTCTTGAGTGTTGATTCCTTGTGAACTGTAGCCCTCGATTGATAGGTAGCCTTCGGCAATTAGGTCCCTTGAGATGAAGGTGAAATATGTAGGACTTAGAAAATCTTCTAAGTGTAGAGTTTCCCTCGAGAGCCTTCGGGAGGTGGCCTACCTCCATGATGTATGAGTAGCTGACCGGGGGGAAAGCATGTAGGACTTAGAAAATATTCTAAGTGTAAAGTCTCCCTTGGGAGCCTTCGGGAGATGGCATCCCTTCTTGATGTATGAGTAGTTGACCGGGGAAAACATGTAGGACTTAGAAAATATTCTAAGTGTAAAATCCCCCTTGGGAGCCTTCGGTAGATGGCATTCCTCCTTGATGTAAGAGTAGTTGACCGGGGGGAAAGCATGTAGGACTTAGAAAATATTCTAAGTGTGATTTTTTCCTTGGGTGCCTTCGGGTGATAGGTGCCCTCTGATTTCACATCACTTTGCAAGATGCCCGGGGGCTACTCGTTTAGGACAGAATACCCCCTTTTTTTTAAGTGTTGTTGTATTGCATGGCCTTCGGCCACCATATTCCCTTGGCTGTAATATTGATTGGGCCGGGGGCCCAATCTTTAGGACTTAGAATTTTTTCAAGTGCTGCTTCCCTGTGTAGCCTTCGGGGTGCCCGGGGGCTGCTCCTTCAGGACTTAGAATTTTTCTAAGCATAAATTGATGTTGAATCCTGTTGTTGTGAAGAAAGCCGATGAGGAGTGTGTGCCCTCGGCATACACTTTAAAAGTTGTAGAATTTGACCCTTGTCATGGGGAAAGAGCCCTCGGTATTTGTGCATAACAGATGCCTTCGGTGTTTGTTTGAAGTACCGTTTAGTGGACCTTGGATAGTCCAGTCCCTTTGTATTGTTGAAGCCCTCGGTGTTTTTGTGACCGGAGGTGACCAGGTAGTGGATTTAGCCGTTTCCTGATGATATTTCTTTGAGTAGTATCCTTCGGGAAATAGGAGTCTTCAATTACCGGAGGTGTTCCCGTGGGGAGCCCTCGGCATGTTGTGATTTTGTTGGAGTGTACTCTTTGATTTCTCGCTGAGTCTACTCCCCTTCACCCCCCCCCCCCCCTTTTTTTTTTGGTTGGTGGTGAAGGGAAGGCATCAAGAAACTTGGTTTCTTGGTAAGGCTGGGCCTATTAGGAGACCATCAGAATACACCAATGGCTCTCCTCCCTCGGGTTAACCTTCCGAGTTCCGAGGGGATCGAGGGACGTTTCCTGGGCACAAGATATGGTGGTCCGTAACCTGCCTCCCCTTGGGGGATGGCGCGGAAAGCGCCTCATTTTTGAAAGTCGTCCCCTCGGCGCTAGACATAGTCCGTGGCCTGCCACACCCTTGGGGTGGTGGCGCGGGGAGCGTTTCGGTTTGGAAGTCGAATCCTGGGCATTTCTCATACCTATCATACCCTGGGGGTAGTGACGCGGATAGCGTTCCGTTTTTGAAAGTCGAATCCTGGGCATTTCTCATGCCTGTCACACCCTGGGGGTAGTGACGCGGAAAGCGTTTCAAGGAAGGGTTTTCATTTGCACACTAGCTGCAAATGGTCGGGGGCACTACGTGCCGCCGGCACCGATGGTGGCGCCTTCGGTATATGCGTCCTCGTGGGGTACGGCTTTTGGAAACAACACTTGGTGTTAGTTTCGATGTGTAGCCCCCGGTACTTGGTACCGAGGGGTCTTCTGTAGGAATACTTGGTGTTCTCCTTTGTTGCAGTTGATGGAGGTGTCTACCCTCGGTACTTGGTACCGAAGGGTCTTAAAATGACACACTTGGTGTTTCCCAATAGATGTTTGGAAGTTGATAGGAGAGCATCTCCCTGGCACTGGGTGCCGAGGGGTCTTCTTTGAAACATTTGTGTTTTTCTCTTCGTTTCGATGTTTGATGATGGAAGTGTACCCTCGGCACTGGGTGCCGAAGGGTCTTCTGTAGGAACACTTGGTGTTCTCATTTTTTCTTTTTTTTTCTTTTTTTTTTGATGTTGAAGGTGGGGATGTACCCTCGGTACTGGGTGCCGAAGGGAAATGAAATACATGGTGTTCCTTATTGTTGGTGATAGGAGTTCCCTCCCTCGGTACTTGGTACCGAGGGGTCTTGACTGAAAACACGTGGTGTTTTCACTGTTTGGTGTTGATGGTGTCTGCCCTCGGCACTTGGTGCCGGAGGGGGTTCTTCTCGTGGTGAGGCCTGGGGCCTGTAATCAGTATGAGGGCTTGATGCCTTGAATGTATCTTCATTCTTCGAATTTGAAGGCCTTGGGCCATAGGATAGTACATTCACTAGTTATGAGGGCTTGGCCGCTCTTACATTATTGATAAAATTTAACTAAGTGGTGTACATTCCAGTGCCTAGGGACTTCTTTCCCATTTGGGCGTTTGAGCTTGTAGGTCCCGGGTTTGATGATGGCTGCTATGATGTATGGGCCTTCGAATTTTGGTGCCATTTTTCCTCCCTCGGTTGGTTGGCTGGCTTCCCTCCTCCGGAGGACATAATCCCCCACTTGAAATTCTCGGGTGCGAACTTTGGCGTCGATGTAGCTTTTAACTTGCCTTCGGTAGTTTTCTGCCCGGATGAAGGCCTGCTCCCGGCGTTCTGAAATGAGGTGGAGGTCGAGGGCCATATTGCTGTCGTTGACCTCGGGGTCATACTGGATCACCCTTCGGGTAGGAAGGGTGACTTCCGTAGGAGCTTTGGCTTCGAAACCGTAGCAGAGGGAGAAGGGTGTTTCACCTGTAGCTCGCCGAGGGGTGGTGCGGTAGGCCCAAAGGATGTTGTGAAGTTCTTCCACCCAGCCACCACCCTCGGCCTCCAGATTCTTTTTGAGGCCCTCGAGCAAGGTCCGGTTGGCGTTCTCTACTTGCCCGTTGCCTTGAGGGTAGGCAACGGAGGAGAAGGTGTGTTTGATGCCCCATGCCTCCAGAAGGGCACAGAAGGGGGCTGCCTCAAATTGTGTCCCATTGTCGGAGATGATCTGCTGGGGGACGCCAAACCTTGTGAGGATGTTCTTGAGGACGAAGTGACGACACTTTGCCTCTGTGATGCTGGCGAGGGGTTCAGCCTCCACCCACTTGGTGAAATAGTCGACGGCCACAATGATGTATCTGTTGTTGGAGGTACCCCTCGGCAGAGGGCCCACAAGGTCTATCCCCCATCGGGAAAACGGGACAGAGATGCTGATGGGGGCGTAGTTGATCGCTGGCCTGCCGGGAGCTTTCTGGAAATGTTGACATGCGGTGCACCTCCGGGCAAGGTCAGCACAGTCCCTGGCCATGGTTGGCCAGAAGTAGCCCTGGAGAATGAGCCTTCGGGACATGGAGAAGGGTCCCTGGTGAGCTGAGCAAGTGCCACTGTGCACTTCCTCCATTGCGACCTCGGCTTCATCTGGATGAAGGCACCGAAGTAGCGTGCCATTGTAAGATCGTTTGTAGAGCCTCCCATCTTCGATGGTGTAGCTGGGAGCCCTCAGTTTTGCCAGTTTAGCGCGGGCCTCATACTCGGGTAGCTGCCCTGTGGAGATGAAGGCGGTGATATCTGAGATCCAATCCTCCTGACGTTGTTGTATGTTCATCACGGGGCTTGCATGGATGCTTGAGAGGCTGAGTTCCTCGATTTTGGCAATTTTGGAGATGTGCTCGGGGGAGTCTGCCGAGAGCTTAGATAATATGTCGGCCTCGGAGTTCTGAGCCCTCGGTATTTGAGTGAGAGAGTGTGCCTCAAATACCTTAAGCAACTCTTTGGCCGCTTCCTTGTACTGTTTCATTCTCCCCTCCTTGGCCTCATATTCTTCGGAGATTTGGCCAACGACCAACTTGGAGTCGCATTTGATGTGGATCTGCCGAGCCCTCATGTTGGCAGCCAGCCGAAGGCCACATAGGAGGGCCTCATACTCGGCTTCATTGTTGGAGACCTTGAAGGAGAAGCGGATCGCATATTAGGCCCTGAAGCCCTCGGGAGTAATGAGGACTACCCCTCCCCCGCATGCTTTGGTCGCGGAGGAGCCATCAGTGTAGAGGGTCCACCAGTCGTCCGAGGTAGCCGAGGGCTCCCCGTCCGTGGCTGCCCTTGCGGTACATTCCGTCACAAAGTCCGCCAGGGCTTGGCCCTTGATGGCAGGCCTTGGACGGATGTCAATGTTGTATTGGCTCAAGAAGATAGCCCATTTCACCATGCGGGAGGAGCTGGTGGGGCTCCTCATGAGGGCGCCGAGGGGTTGATGGGTGAGGACCTGAACCGGGTGAGCCTGAAAGTAGTGGCCCAACTTCTTGACAGTCCAAACGATGGCTAACACCGTTTTTTCCACAGGGGAGTACCTGAGCTCGGCCTCCCTTAGGGTCTTGCTAACGTAGAAGATAGCATGCTGGATGCCGTCTTCCTCCCGGATAAGCACAGAGCTGATGGCCGCCGGGCTGACCCCAAGGTAGAGGTAGAGAGTCTCCCCTACCTTGGGTTTGGAGAGCACAGGGGGTGAAGATAGATACCGTTTGAGCTCGTCGAAAGCCCCCTGGCATTCT